CTATTGTTGGCCTGGGCTGGAGAGCAGTGGCACAATCTTGGCTCACTGTAACCTCCGCCTCCCAGGTTCCAGCAATTCTCCTGCCTCAGCCTCCCAAGTAGCTGAGATTGCAGGTCCCTACCATGTAGAGACGAGGTTTCACCATGTTGGCCAGGCTGGTCTCAAACTCCTGACCTCAGGTGAACGACCCGCCTCGGCCTCCCAAAGTACTGGGGTTATAGGCATGAGCCGCCATGCCCAGCCCAAATATGTCATTTTAATGATAGTTCCATTTACAATTTAAACGCCCTTATGCGTTATAACCACTGTAAATATCTGACTATGCAAGTAAAACATTCTTAAGTAAATTTGATCATTTAAAATTACCGGCAGGTGTGGTGCCTCATGCCTGTAACTTCAGCACTTTGGGAGGCCCAGGTGGGTAGATCACATGAAGTCAGGAGTTTGAGACCAGCTTGGTCAACATGGTGAAACCCTGTGGCCCTGCATGGTTGCAGGTGCCTGTAATCCCAGCTACTTGGGAGGCTGAGGTACAAGAATTGGTTGAACCTGGGAGGCAGAGGTTGCAGTGAGCTGAGATTGCACCACTGCACTCCATCCTGGACAACAGAGCAAGTCTCCATCCCCCACCCCCCGACAAAAAAATTAGCTGGGCATGGTGGTGGGCACCTGTAATCCCAACTACTTGGGAGGCTGAGGCAGGAGAATCACTTGAACCCAGGAGGCAGAGGTTGCAGTGAGCTGAGATCATGCCACTGCACTCCTGTCTGGGTGACAGAACGAGACTTTGTCTCAAAACAAAAAGCAAAAGAACCCAAATTGTCTACACAGTGCATCTCAGGTTCTCAGACTTTGCTCTTAGACCTGGAGTCATCTCCTCGTTCTCACTGCTGTGTTCCCAGTGCTCTGAAGAGTGCCTGGCGACCCACAAACTTGAATACATGAGGGGTATTTCTCTCTTGTACCTTTTAACCGAAAAAGAAACGTCTGTCATCAGTAACTTAATTACACATTTTAAATTGGAATCGAGGCCAGAATCTAAGATTAATTGGCCAAATTTTCTTAAATACTACTAACACCTTTAAATGCCAAATGCACAGATCATTTTGAGGCTAAACACTAAAATGTCAAACCCGAAACCATTGATAGAGGCGCTAAACACACTAAGGCAATAATGCAGTTGTCTCCGGTGAGTAGGGTTCCTTCGGGGCCTCCCGTAGCCCCCTCGTGCCTCGTTTCTTAGTCTCTCTGGGACTGCCTGGCTGCTGGCTTCCCTTCCCACTCATTCCTCTGATCTGAGCAAAGGAAAACACTACCACCACCTGGTGAGATTCAGCCAGTCTGTTTTGTTTTTTTTTTTATAATTTTTTTTTTCTTTTAACTTAACATCCTTGGAGTGTGTCCGCCCGTCTGTTAACATCGGATTCCTGTTTCTTCAGAATGCTTACAGATATTAAGGTGCCAGCATGTTAGGTTCTGTCCATTTTTCATGTTTTTGTCTGCCTTTAAAGTCACAACACTAAAGCTTATATTCTTGGGGTGGTTTTGAGACAAGCAGAACCTTTTTTTGTGGCTGAGTTACATATGGTGAAACTGCTTCCGAAACCTGTCACACCGCGTGTGACTCACAGGACTGCCTCCTGCCGAGTCCCAGGTTTCCCGTCATCTTTGCTAGCAAAGAGCATTGCTTTTGCTTTAAATTTAATAATTGCTACATGGACAAGGATATGCTATCTTAATGTTTTTCTTTCTTCAATTACTAACGAGTTTGAACATTTCTGTAATGAAGGTTGGAAAGTTGTATCTTCCTCATTTTAGTCTGGACAGAGCTCTTAAGGTGACAGAGAACTTCAGGAAATGATGTGTCCTTTTTTATTGGGTTAAACTGTAGAAATAAAGTAAAATGACTGTGTCTGCTGCTTCAACGCTGTGGTGTTGTACGACATTGGGTTGGCAACTCCTCGACTCGAGTTTGGAACCCCATGTTATGTTAAGAAGTTAAGACCTGTTGTTTGAGTTTGAAGATCAGAGAAACTTATTTTTTGTGTGGAAGAGGGGAAAGAAGTAGAGATCAACTGACTGTCCCTAAATCTCGGGCCAGGCTTTGGTTTTTATATAATGCCAAGAAGAGCAGCTTTTGATCAAGATGAGCCTGCTGAGCCCTCACCCTTCAGTTGGATGCTTTTGGTTCTTCCCGAGTGAATGATAGGTTTGACTAAGTCAGATGCTGTCTTGGGCCTGCCTGTATCTGAGTTGGATCACAGAAGTGCTGCCCTCAGCACAAGATTGTCCCTGGAAGCCTCAGACATCGTGCTGGGAGGAACCTTGCAAATTCTGTGGGAAACTTTTTGCCTGACTGCAGGAACCCACTGGGCTTACTACCAAAATGTGGTTTCTCCTTATGCTGAAGAGTGGGATTCAGCAACGAGCTCCGCAAATTATAGTAATGAATTCACAAATCCACATGGACAGCGCCTTCTGGAGCGGGCAGAGGCATCCATGGCAGCTCCCTCTGGCTTCTTGCTGTCGGGCAGGAGGGCTGGCTGCCTTGGTGCTCTGCCCTCCTGTTTTTCTCAACAACATATGTGAGTCCTAAAAAGTTGCCTTTTTCTCTTTTAATTCCTTGCATAGAATTTCCCTGTTCTGTTGTAGGGAACACACATTTCCAAAGCTTTCGAGGCAAATGTGAAGGTTTTCCTTTAGAGTAGTTTACCAGTATATATCAGATATAGAAGTTTTAATCAGGTTTTTTTTTTTCTTTCTGTCTTTTTTTTTTAAGACAGGGTCTTACTCTGCTGCCCAGGCTGGAGTACAGTGGCATGATCTCCGCTCACTGCAACCTCTGCCTTCTGGGTTCAAGCAGTTCTCCCATCTCAACCTCCTGAGTTGCTGGGACTACAGGCACACGCCACCATACCTAGCTAATCTTTATGTTTTAGTAGAGACAGGGTTTTACCATGTTTGCCAGGCTGGTCTTGAACTTTAGACCTCAGGCGATCCACCTGCCTCGGCCTCCCAAAGTGCTGGGATTACAGGTGTGAGCCACCACGCCTGGCTGTTTACTTATATTTTTGCCAGCTTCTTTGTAGAGTGCCTCTCAATTTGGGTTTGTGGGTGTATCCTGAGCATTGGCCCTCACAGCTTGCATTTTAGGAATGGCTGCACAGAAGCCCAGGACAGTGTGTCCTCTTCAGTGCGTCATTTCAAGGAGGCCCATGATGTTAATTTCACCATCCTACCACATCTCTCCACCATGAAGTTACTTGTTTTCCTTTTGTAATTAATAAGTATCTTGGGTCTGGTGCTGTGGTGCACGCCTGTAATCCCAGCACTTTGGGAGGCTGAGGTTGGGGTTGGCTTGAGTCCAGGAGTTCAAGACCAGCCTGGGCAACGAAGTGACCACTGCCTACAAAAAAATACAAAAGTGAGCCAGGTGTGGTGGCGTGTTTCTGTAGTTCTAGCTACTCGGCAGACTGAGTGTGAGGCTCACTTGAGCTGGGAGGCTGAGACTGCCGTGAGCCAGAGTCCTGCCACTGCATTCCAGCCTGGGAGAGAGCAGGAGCCCATCTCAGATAAAGAAGAAAAAGTATCTTGCGGCAGATACTTGGAGACGGTGTACATTTCCTGTTTCTTGTCGTGCTTTCACAAGCTGGTGTTCGCGTCCATTGATGATTGCTGTGGGAAACTGCTTCCTGTGCCGGCTGCAATGCTGATGTTCAAGAGCTGTGTTTACATTGTTAAAGAAAACTTACTCTAACCATTGTCAAAGACGGCAAGGCACTTAATGCTGTGGGAGACCAAGGCAGGACAATAGCTTGAGGCCAGGAGCTTGAGACCAGCCTGGGCAACATAGTGAAACTTCATGTCTACAAAAAAATTTAAAAATTAGCCAAGAGTGGTAGTGTGAGCCTGTAGTCCTAACTCCGTGGGAGGCCGAGGCAGGAGGATCACTTGAGTGCAGGATTCAAGGCTGCAGTCAGTGTACCACGATTGCACCACTGCACTCCAGCCTCGGTGACAGAGCAGGACCTTGTCTCAAGAAAGCAAAACAAAGGGCAGGCTATTCAGGGTGATCGTGGTAGGTGTAGGGACTGCTGCAATGGGATTTTGCATTGGAGAAGACCTAGGAGCAGGGGTAGGGGCCGTGGATGGGAAATTACTAAGCGGAAACATCAGGGGTGCGGAGGGTTCTGGATGCACCGACCTAACGGCGTTCTGTGGAAGGGAGAGCAGGGAAGGCCGTGGCCTGGACCCTAAACACTCGGGAGTCCCGGCCTCTCCTGAGCAGCGCACTGACGCCAGCGTCCCAGATGTGTGTGTTAGTCCATCATCCTTTAGCCAGATTTGCTTGGAAAACCTAGACGGTGAGACTTAAAAATGTCCTGGAGAATTGTCTCCCAGCAAAGTGGCTGACCGTGTGTGGCTGTATTGTCACAGACCTTCCCAGATGTGTACGTTTCAAGTTTTGTTCAGTTGGAATTCTTTGGAAGCTGGCACAACTACATAGAAAGCCACGTAAGTCAGCCACCATGCCAGCTAACTAAAAACATTGCCTTTGTAGAGATTGGGGCTCGCTCTGTTGCCCAGGCTGGAGTGCAGTGGTGTGATCTTTGCTCACTGCAGCCTCCACCTCCCAGGTTCAAGCCATTCTCCTGCCTCAGCCTTCCGTGTAGCTGGGACTACAGGCGTGCCACCACACCTGGCTAATTTTTTTATTTTTAGTAGAGACAGGGTTTCACTGTGTTAGCCAGGATGGTCTCAGTCTCCTGACCTCATGATCTGCCTGCCTCAGCCTCCCAAAATGCTGGGATTACAGGTGTGAACCGTCACGCCTGGCCGGCCCAAGCTAGCCTTGAACTCCTGTGCTCAAGTGATCCTCCTGCCTCAGCCTCCCAAAGTAGTGGGATTACAGGTGTGAGCCTCCATACTAGCTAATTTAGCTAGTTTTGTATTTTTTTTTTTTTTTTTTTTTTTTTGAGACAGAGTCTCAGTCACCCAGGCTGGAGTGCAGTGGTGTGATCTCAGCTCACTGCAGCCTCTGCCTCCCGGGTTCAAGTGATTCTCCTGCCTCAGCCTCCCAAGTGGTTGGGATTATAGGCATATGCCACCATGCCCAGCTAATTTTGGTATTTTTAGTAGAGACGGGATTTTGCCATGTTGGTCAGGCTGGTCTCTAACTTCTGACCTCAGGTGATCCTCCTGCCTCAGCCTCCCAAAGTCTTGGTATTATAGGCATGAGTCATAATGCCTGGCCCCATGTGCTGATTATTTCATTTTTCCCAAGCAAACTAGGACTTAGAGATGGTCCCACAAGGCCCCGCTGACTGCTTTGCGGCACCTCTCCACAGGACTAGTGCTGTGTGTCAGCAGACGTCACTCTGTGAGGATGGAGGTCACTCGGACACAGAGCCTGGCCTCAGGAGCCTTATGTTCCAGCAACCACTTGAAGAATAATCATAAAAATTAAAATTGTAAAATATTTTGTCAATTGTGCATTAAACCAAAAAATTAAAAATTGGCCTTAAGTGGAACAAGGAGGTACGGGATGAAGGCAGGCGAACTGTATGTCCAGACTGTGTCATGCCAGTGATGATCACCTTCAGGCCAAGTTTATGATTCAGTCTCTTAGGAACATTTTAGTTTAGTGCCCACTGACATCAAAGACTCTGCTAGTAGCTGGGGATGTAGCAAGACAAGCCCATGCCCTTAAGGAACTTGCAGTTCAAATAAACAACTGAAATACTGCGGGGCTGGGCAGAGGCTGCTGTGTGAGGGCCCAGCAGGGACACACTTAACACTGGTGTGGGCGAGATTCATCAGGAAGACTCTGGAGAAGGTGATGTGAGTGAAGATGCATGTTTCCCTCCTGGCCATGCAGAGAGGGGAGTGTGTCTGGGCAGAGCTGTCAGGCTGGGGATGACCTGGAATGTTGGGGAAGCTAAATGTGGTGATTGCTTTATTTATACAACTTGGAGTATGAAAGGGGGTCATTGAGGGAATGCTATAGCCTATGGGTGAAGGTTGGGCAGAGGCGATTTTAAGCATGTGAGTCACATGATCAGATTTTCATTTTAGAAAGCTGGGAGAATGGGCCTGCTTGGGTGGCTCACACCTTGTGTTAGTTCGTTTTCACACTGCTGATAAAGACATATCCAAGACAGGGCAATTTACAAAAGAAAGGTTTAATTGTACTTAAAGTTTCACATGGCTGGGGAGGCCTCACAATTACAACGGAAGGCAAAGAGGAGCAAGTCATGTCTTACATGGATGGCATGTAAGAGACACAGCCAACCAATCATTCCGCTCCTGGCCCCTCCCAAATCTCACATCATCCCATTTCAAAGCCAATCATGCCTGCCCAGTAGTCCCTCAAAGTCTTAACTCATTTCAGCATTAACTCAAAAGTCCACAGTCCAAAGTCTCATCTGAGACAAGGCAAGCCCCTTCCACCTATCAGCCTATAAAATCAAAAGCAGGTTAGTTACTTCCTAAATACAGTAGGGATATAGGCATTGGGTAAATACAGCCATTTCAAATGGGGAAACTGGCCAAAACACTGGGGCTACAGGCCCCACGCAGTCTGAAATCCAGCAGGGCAGTCAAATCTTAAAGCTCCAAAATGATCTCTTGTGACTCCATGTCTCACATCCAGGTCACACTGATGTAAGAGGTAGGTTCCCATGTTTTGGGCAACTCTGTTCCTTTGGCTTTGCAGGGTACCGTCTCCCTCCTGGCTGCTTTCACAGGCTGGCCTTTAGTGTGTGCAGCTTTTCCAGGTGCACAGTGCAAGCTGTCAGATCTACCATTCTGGGGTCTGGAGGATGGTGGCTGTCTTCTCACAGCTCCACAAGGTAGTGGCCCAGTGGGGACTCTCTGTGAGGACTCCAGCCCCACATTTTCTTTCCATATGGTCCTAGCAGAGGTTCTCCATGAGGACCCTGCCCTTGCAGCCAGCGTCTGCCTGGACATCCAGGCATTTCCGTACATCTCCTGAAGTCTAGGTGGAGGTTCCCAAACCTCAATTCTTGACTTCTGTGTACTCGCAGGCCCAATACCACATGGAAGCTGCCAAGGCTTGAGACTTGCATCCTCTGAAGCCACGGCCCAAGCTCTACATTGGCCCTTTTCAGCTGCGGCTGGAGCAGCTACGACACAGGACACCAAGTCCCTAGGCAGCACACAGCACGGGCACTCTGGGCCTGGTCCACAAAACCAGTTTTTCCTCCTAGGCCTCTGGGCCTGTGATAGGAGGGGCTGCTGTGAGGACTTCTGACATTTTCTCCATTGTCTTGGGGATTAACATTTGGCTCCTTGTTACTTATGCAAATTTCTGCAGCCAGCTTGAATTTCTCCTCAGAAAATGGGATTTTCTTTTCTATCACATTGTCAGGCTACAAATTTTCCAAACTTTCATGCTCTGCTTCCTTTATAAAGCCGAATGCTTTCAACAGCACCCAAGTCACCTCTTGAATGCTTTGCTGCTTAGAAATTTCCACCAGATACCCTAAATCATCTCTCAAGTTCAGGCCTCCACAAATCTCTAGGGCAGGGGCAAAATGCTGCCAGTCTCTCTGCTGAAATATAACAAGACTCACCTTTGCTCCAGTTCCCAACAAGTTCCTCATCTCCACCTGAGACCCCCTCAGCCTGGACTTTATTGTCCATATTGTCATCAGCATTTTTGTCAAAGCCATTCAACAAGTTTCTAGGAAGTTCCAAACTTCCCCACATTTTCCTTTCTTCTTCTGAGCCCTCCAAACTGTTCTAGCCTCTACCTATTACCCAGTTCCAAAGTTGCCTCTACATTTTCGGGTATCCTTTCAGCAGCACCCCACTCCTGGTACCGGTTTACTTTGTTAGTCCATTTTCATGCTGCTGATAAAGGCATACTCAAGACTGGACAGTTTTCCAAAGAAAGAGGTCTAATGGATTTACAGTTCCACATGGCTGGGGAAGCCTCACAATCATGGCGGAAAGCAAGGAAGAGCAAGTCGTGTCTTACATGGATGGCAGCAGGCAAGGAGAGGAGCTTGTGTGCAGGGGAATGCCTCTTTTTAAAACCATCAGATCTCATGTGAGACTCATTCACTATCATGAGACCAGCCTGGGAAAGACTTGCCCCCATGATTCAATTACCTCTTACTGGGTCCCTCCCACAACACATGGGAATCCAAGATGAGCGGTGGGTGGGGACACAGCCAAACCATATCACACCTGTAATCCCAGCATTTTGGGAGGCTGAGGCGGGATAATTGCTCAAGCCCAGGAGTTCAAGAGCAGCCTGAGCAATATGGCGAGACTTCCTCTCTACAAAAAATAAAGCCAGCCAGCATGGGGGTGTGGGCCTGTAGTTCCAGCAGCTCTTGAGCTCAGGAAGTTGGGGCTGTAGTGAGCTACAATTGCACTGCAGTCCAGCCTAGCTGGCGGAACAAGACCCTGTCTCTAAAAAAAGGGAGAAAAGACCAGGTGCAGTGGCTCATGCCTGTAATCCCAGCACTTTGGGAGGCTGAGGCGGGTGAGGTAGATCACAAGGTCAGGAGATTGAGACCATCCTGGCCAACATGGTGAAACCCAGTCTCTACTAAAATGCAAAAATTAGCTGCAGTGAGCTGAGATTGTGCCACTGCACTCCAGCCTGGGGACAGAGCAAGACTCTATCTCAAAAAAAATAAAAATAAAAAGGAGAAAGAAAACTCAGAGAATGCACTGGTAGAGGGTAAGACTAGAGGCTCATACAACCAGGTAGGAGACTACTACCACCATCAGGGTGTGAGGTGATGGCGCTGAATGGAGCCACTCCTTGGGGCGAAGGGGAGCAGATGGAAGTGAAATTGGAGAGAAAGCAGGGATTTGGTCAAGGCAGAGACCTGTTAGGGCAGATTCAGTGACAGGTTTGCAGATGTGTGGGTCTCTGTCAAAATGGGGGTCTTGGGGAAGAATTTATGAAGTGTTTCCTCATATTTTTTTTTTTTTTTCAAATTTTGAGACAGAGTCTCACTCTGTCACCCAGGCTGTAGTACAGTGGCACGATTTTGGCTCACTGCAGCCTCTGCCTCCTGGGTTCAAGCAATTCTTCTGCCTCAGCCTTCCAAGTTGCTGGGACTATAACTGCGCGCCACCAGTCCCGCAACTAGAGCTAGGGTTTCACCATGTTGGCCAGGATGGTCTTGATCTCCTGACCTTGTGATCTGCCCGCCTCAGCCTCTCAAAGTGCCAGGAGTACAGGCGTAAACCACGGCTCTCTGCCTGTTTCCTCATATTTTAATTGCACATATTCCATTTCACGGGTTACCATTATCTGTTTTACCAGGCTTCTGTCGAAAGTGCTTTCCAGCCTTTTCTGTTAGCAGTGGCTCTCCTGCCATGTTGCAGGGTGTGCCTGTGTCAGGAGTGCCCTGGGCCGTGAGAGTTCTCCGCCACAGCCTTCTCCCTGCAGAATCTCCTGCTCATCGGCAGCAGGCTCAGCCCCCTCTTTCTTGGCGCTCAGCTGTCCTTGCCATGGCTGGCGCTCCCACGTCCTTGGTCCTCCTTTTCCCGGTGGCTTTGGGGGCACCGCCTGGTTCCCTTGCTGTCCCGTGGCAGCTCTTCATCCTGTGCTGGGTCCTCCTGTCGCCCTGAACTGCAGACCGTCTTCTAGCACGGGCTGTTCTACCTCTTCCTGGATGGTCTCATCAAGTCTTAAGGCTTTAATCACAGTAAATACCTAAAAGTAAAGCTTTAGCCACCTATTCTGGCAGATTTTTTATGATTATTATTGTAGGGACAGGGTCTTGCTATGTTGCCCAGGCTGGTCTTAACCTGGACTCAAGTGGTCCTCCCACATCAGCCTCAAAGTGCTGGGATTACAGGCATGAACCACCATGCCCAGTTGGACATACATATCTTTTGGAGGACACAGTTCAGCCCCACACATACTATCCGTGCTTCGATGATGGCCAAATTTGTGTTTCGAGTCTACACTCCCTTACTCAGAGTTTAATGTGGGTGTCTGAGAAGCATCTCAAACCTAAAATGTCCCAGCATGCTCTCCCCTCCGAGGCCACAGAAGCTGCTCCTGTTGATTGTGTCCCTTCTCTGGAACCCACTGATTGTGCCCTCTCTCATGCCCATTCACTGTGCCCCTCCCTTTTGCCCATTGACTGTGCCCCCTTGATGGCTCCAGAATGATGCTTGTAAGGGCAGGTCCTAGCTCAGCCTCTGGCATCTCAGTGGCTGTGGTCACATTGCTCAGGCTTCTCAGGTGTAAATGGCATCACAGCAGTGCCTCCCCCAGGTGTTGTGAGGGCACATGGCGCTAGGATGGCTCCTGTGCTCAGGAGGTGGCCTGGCTGCTGCCACTGCTGCTGCTGTGAGCACCCGACTCAGAGTTCCTTTTAACCATCTCACTCAGGACAGGGTGGTAGTCCTTCGGACAGGACTTGTTTCCATTTCACACGGTCTCCGAAAGTGCTGCTTTCCTTGATGTTCTTGCTAGTTCAGAACAAGTGGCACAAATGCCCTTGACCTCTACATGACCTTCTCAGGACGGCCCAGACTGAACGTCTATGACCAGGCCGTGGTCCAGCCTGGCTGCCCTCCGCTCTGCGGTGCTTCGCCACACCCACACTGCAGGTGCTGCTCATGTCCCTGCTCCATCCTTCCAGCTCATCAGTGGCATTTTGTGGTTTCCTGTTGTCATTAAGCAAGTGTGCCACGATGTACCTATCTGTAAGATGTGCACGTGTTTACGAGCATGTCCGTCTCATTCTCCCAGAGCACCTCTTTCCATCCCTGTCCCCGGCCTCTGTGTTACAGACACCAAACACCCTGAAGCGTGCCTCTCGAGTCTTGGCTGAAATAGCATCTTCTCACGGAGGCCTGCTCTGACCACACGACCCGGGAAGGCTGCCCAGGCACCCTCTCACTTCACCGTCTGCCCATCCTTGGCCCTGTGTATTGTGTCTCCTCCTCGGCTGGTTTGTTCCAGGAGGGCTGAGGCCCTGGCTGTCATGCTCACTGCTGCCCCTTGGGCCGAGCACTGTCTGGCCTGTGCAGGCATGGATTTGATGTTAGTTGGGCGGTGACTGACTGGCTGGAAATGTAATAGCAAGTCAGGGCCCAGCACAGGAAAATAAGTGCTATGTCAGTGAAGGGCTGCTAAGTAGGATTTGGCTTATCACGTACTGCTAAGGCTAACTGTTTTCTCTCTGTGTAAAAATAAGAATTTTAAAAAATCGGATGTTATGGAATGAAGGAAACAAAACAAAACAGAACAAAACAACGCGCTATGACCGTTAACTGGCGTTTTTCTGGTTTTGTTCCCCAGACACCATTTGCTTTTCACCCAAGATGATTTGATGTCCTGTAGAACTCTGGCGAACCATGATGGCTACACAGACATTAAGTATAGACAGCTATCAAGATGGGCAACAGGTGAGCTTGAGCTTGATTCTGCATTCTGGCTACAAATCAGCCTGGCACTCAAGCACGGACATTGCTTTGTACACTTATAATTCAATTGCCATGAGATTGCGTGTTCAGCATTAGTGTATTACGCATTTATTGCATGTTTGTGTTCAGAACGATATGCCACAGAATAATCAATATGATTCCCTTAACTGATACCGAAATTGCCGGGACTCTTGACTTCCCTAAGTCATGACAGGGTCTTGGGAATTTACTGTCAGTGTTAATTAGCATTGTTACTTGGAAAGAAAACCTGGCTGATTTTCATGATGACAGATTCATTCCCGTGTTGACTGCTGGCTCTTCTGAGTCTCTACTGGAGTAGCTTTTGAATGGGAACCCTGTGTCTTCGTCTCCCTAGGAGGCATGAGAGGGGCTGTCCCAGCAGTGGATCTGCAAGGTGCCTGCGCTCCGTCTTTGTACCTTGCTCACGCCTGGACGCTTGTTCTGTACACAGGCAGCTCGCCGTTGCCCTCCCACCACAGATGAGACTTTGCTTTCCTGGGAGCTACAGTGTTTTGTGTTCTGTGACCTGAATGAATTGAGGAGCAAGAGGACTGAGACTTGGCTGAGGCCCTTGCCGTCTTTCTTGGCCTTCGATCTTGTTAAATGCTGTGTCTCCATTTTCCCGCTGCTAAGACGTACCTGGAAAAAACAAAAACAAGAGCCCACACTGCGCTGTGAGCCCACTGGCATTTGGCTCATCGTCCCACTGACTCTGGAGCCAGGGAAGGGATGTGGCCTGCCCTTTACTATCCTGCCTAGCAGGCAGGCTCAGCGCAGTGCCCCTCGGCTCTCCTCCCCACCTCGGGGGCTTCGATGGCAAGGGTCAGACTCCGGGTGACTCCCCGGAGCCCTGTTGATGAGTTCTGAGGAGGGGTTAGAAGCTGAGGCGCTGGGACCCTTTTCCTGGTGGTGGATTTTACCAGCCAGTCCTTGTTCGGTGCCTGTTGCAGAGTCTTGGTGGTGGCAGTGTTGTTGTTTTGCTTTGTACAGCAATTTAAGGAGGACATTCTGTGTGGTCACCCTGCTTCCTTAGCCCAGAAGTCCTTAGTCCTTCGGTATTTCCAAGTGACCTTTTTTTTTTCTAAAATGCAAATCCAATAATGTCCCTCCTGAGCTCTCCAGTGACTCCCTGTGGATTCCTGTGGGTTTCATGCAAAGACTGAGCTGCTCTGTGGCCCGAATCAGGCAGCCCCTCTGGACCCTAGGCCGTTGCCAGCATCTCTGCCTGGCACACCTTGGGCACCTCTCTGCCTGACATGGGGCACAGTATTCACTCTTCCCATCACTCTTCTCTCTCCTGCCTGCCAGGTCTTTGCTCTGACCCCACCTCTGCCTCCTGAGCATGGTGACTGCCTCTGACAGCCTGGGACAGCAGTGCTTGCTACCAGCCACCTCCTCCCAGGCAGCTGTGCCAGGTGCAGATGACACTGGAAGTGCTGTCTTTTTCATGCCCGAGTGCTTCCGCAGGGCCTGGGAAGTGTTTTATCAGCATTGTTTTAAATAAACGTGGAAACATATCTACAGCATACATAGATCATAATTATTTTGCCATTTTTCCAAGGTTGAACACATTTAGGTTTCTCTCTTTTCATAATCACTTTTTTTGAGATACTGAAATGAATCTTTTAAGGCTTTTTATTTATTTTTATTTTGTTATTTATTTATTTTGAGACGGAGCTTGGCTGCTGCCCTGGCTGGTGTGCACTGGCGCAATCTCGGCTCCCTTCAACCTCTGTCTTCCAGGTTCAAGCAGTTCTCCTGTCTCAGCCTCCTGAGTAGCTGGGATTATAGGTGTATGCTACCATGCCCGGCTAATTTTTTTGTATTTTTAGTAGAGATGGGGTTTTACCACGTTGCCCACACTGATCTCGGACTCCTGACCTCAGGTGATCCGCCCACCTCAGCCTCCCGAAGTGCTGGGATTGTAGGCGTGAGCCACCATGCCTGGCCATTGTTTTTTTTTTTTTTGAAATGGAGTCTCGCACTGTCACCCAGGCTATAGTTCAGTGGCACGATCTTGGCTCACTGCAATCTCTGCTTCCTGGGTTCAAGCAATTTTCCTGCCTCAGCCTGTCGAGTAGCTGGGACTACAGGCGTGTACCACCACGCCCAGCTAATTTTTGCTTATTTTTAGTAGAGACGGGGTTTCACTATGTTGGCCAGGATGGTCTTGATCTCTTGACCTCGTGATCTGCCCGCCTTGGCCTCCCAAAGTGCTGGGATTACAGGTATGAGCCACCGCACCCAGCCTTTTTTAAAATTTTTTTTTTTTTTTGAGACAGAGTTTCGTTCTTGTTACCCAGGCTGGAGTGCAATGGCGCGATCTCAGCTCACCGCAACCTCCACCTCCCAGGTTCAAGCGATTCTGCCTCAGCCTCCCAAGTAGCTTGGACTATAGGCGCATGCCACCATACTCAGCTAATTTTTGTATTTTTAGTAGAGACGTGGTGGCACCATATTGGCCAGGATGGTCTTGATCTCTTGACCTCATGATCTGCCCACCTCAGCCTCCCAAAGTGCTGGGATTACAGCGTGAGCCACCGCACATGGCCTTTTTAAGGCTTTTTATACACGCTGGCAGATCGCCTTACAGAAATACTGTGTCCACTTAGGCTTCCTTGCTTGTATTTTTTTTAAGAGAAAGAAAAACAGTTTTCCTAGTGTGTTGTCCCATTTAAAGGAAGCAGAATAGAAGTTATCTTACTCCAAAAACAAGAAGTTGGAGGGAAGACAGCACAGGGCTGGAGGGTGTGAGAGGCATCCTGTGGGGGTGGGCATTCATGGCAGGCCCCGAGTCTGTCTGGTCGGTGGGGGTGGCCCCACCCCCACGGCCCCAGGCTGCTTCCTCAAGGGACAGAAGCATGGCCAAATCCACCGTGGGAGACATGGCCCAGTCCTGGTCCTGAGGAGGCTGAGGTCAGGACAGTCTAATCTATTGATCATAGATAACTAGAGCTTATTGCCACAAAATTTTGTTTCTGCAAACTGATTTTTTTAATGATTTAAATACTTTTTACCTAAATGACAAAGGCGTCGCTTGTTTAAAGCAGTTTAAATGATAGTATCTGTTAAGGCTTTAAGTAAACACAGCTGGTCTTTTCCTTTCTGATTGCAGTGAAATTTTTACGGCTATGTTGGCTGATGTTTAAGGGTAGATATGGGAGATGTTCAGCACTGTCACAAATATGTAGCGTATGGAGTTAAGTTGTTTCTGTGATATGGTGAGAAGACAGACTATTTGTTTATGCTTCTCTGGCTGTCATAGTATCAAGCGTGAGGATATATAGCAACAGATGGAAGAGTAAGAGTTCCCTTCAGTAGGGCATCGTCAGTGTTGTTTTAAAAATAGTGAGCGTTTCGCAGACATTGGTTATCTCAGTTGTTAAGCAGTTTGGAAATTTGACCTTTATCTGTCTGGAAGCTGTCTGTCGGTGGTTCTCTCTCCAGGGGTCGCAGTCACGCCGCTGTCTAGAGTTCCCTCTGATGGCGTTCCTCTGGAACACCTAGTGGTTTGTGTTTGGAAATTTGACCTTTATCGGTCTTGGAAGCTGTCTGTCGGTGGTTCTCTCTCCAGGGGTCGCAGTCACGCCGCTGTCTGGAGTTCCCACTCTGATCGCGTTCCTCTGGAACACCTAGTGGTTTGTGTTTGGAAATTTGACCTTTATCGGTCTTGGAAGCTGTCTGTCGGTGGTTCTCTCTCCAGGGGTCGCAGTCACGCCGCTGTCTGGAGTTCCCACTCCGATCGCGTTCCTCTGGAACACCTAGTGGTTTGTGTTTGGTAATAAGAATTATCTTCTTCCTTTTACAGATGCAGGTAGTCACAGAGTTGAAGACAGAACAAGACCCTAACTGCTCTGAACCTGATGCAGCAGGAGTGAGCCCTCCCCCTGTGGAGTCTCAGACCCCGATGGATGTGGACAAGCAGGCCATTTATAGGTAGCGCTGGGGGTGCTGGCTGTGGGGGCGCTCAGAGGAGTGAGGAGCATTGACGAGTTTGTTAAAAGGAGCACTATAGAGCCGGGTGCAGTGGCTCATGCTTGTAATCCCAGCACTTTGGGAGGCTCAGGCGGGTGGATCACCTGAGGTCGGGAGTTCGAGACCAGCCTGACCAACATGGAGAAACTCTGTCTCTACTAAACATACAAAAATTAGCTGGGCCTGGTGGCTCATGCCTGTAATTCTAGCTACTGGGGAGGCTGAGGCAGGAGAGTCACTTGAACCCAGGAAGGGGAGGTTGCAGTGAGCTAAGACTGTGCCTTTGTATTCTAGCCTGGGCAACAAGAGTGAAACTGTCTTCTTTTTTTTAAGTAGTTAGCATTTAATGAACCTCCCTCCATGTGGCTTCAAGCTGCCAGGACACAGCGCCTGCCCCTTTCAATCTCTCCTGCCAAGGAATTTGGCCTGTAAGATGACAGGCTGCTTTGGGAGCTCTCCCTCTCCCAGAGCTTGGAAGTAGCCCGATCACACCACAGCAGTGATGGGAGCAGCCCCTGCCTCTCCCGAGCTTGGAAGTAGCCTGATCACACCACAGCAGTGATGGGAGCAGCCCCTGCCTCTCCCAGAGCTTGGTAGTAGCCCGATCACACCGCCGGAGTGATGGGAGCAGCCCCTGCCTCTCCCAGAGCTTGGTAGTAGCCCGATCACACCACAGCAGTGATGGGAGCAGCCCCTGCCTCTCCCAGAGCTTGATAGTAGCCCGATCACACCACAGCAGTGATGGGAGCAGCCCCTGCCTCTCCCAGAACTTGGAAGTAGCCCGATCACACCGCCGCAGTGATGGGAGCAGCCCCTGCCTCTCCCAGAGCTTGGAAGTAGCCCGATCACACCACAGCAGTGATGGGAGCAGCCCCTGCCTCTCCCAGAACTTGGAAGTAGCCCGATCACACCACAGCAGTGATGGGAGCAGCCCCTGCCTCTCCCAGAGCTTGGAAGTAGCCCGATCACACTGCCGCAGTGATGGGAGCAGCCCCTGCCTCTCCCAGAGCGTGGTAGTAGCCCGATCACACCGCCGCAGTGATGGGAGCAGCCCCTGCCTCTCCCAGAGCTTGGAAGTAGCCCGATCACACCACAGCAGTGATGGGAGCAGCCCCTGCCTCTCCCAGAGCTTGGAAGTAGCCCGATCACACCGCCGCAGTGATGGGGGCAGCCCCTGCCTCTCCCAGAGCTTGGTAGTAGCCCGATCACACCACAGCAGTGATGGGGGCAGCCCCTGCCTCTCCCAGAGCTTGGAAGTAGCCCGATCACACCGCCGCAGTGATGGGGGCAGCCCCTGCCTCTCCCAGAGCTTGGTAGTAGCCCAGTCACACCGCCGCAGTGATAGGAGCAGCCCCTGCCTCTCCCAGAGCTTGGAAGTAGCCCAATCACACCGCCGCAGTGATGGGAGCAGCCCCTGCCTCTCCCAGAGCTTGGAAGTAGCCCGATCACACTGCCGCAGTTACGGGGCAGCCCCTGTCTCGTTTTTAGCAGCATTCACCTGTGTCGTCTCACTGACCAAAGTCCACAATTTGTCAGGGTTGACAGTTGGGCAGAAGCTGTGGTTCCTCTTTAAGTGATAATGCCTCATTCCAACTTTCCCAAAGTACCCTGGGTGGTATTGGCGAAGTTGATCCTGTGGTGTGATGCATATACCACCAGCATTACCGCAGCCTCCAGGGTGCTTCTGGGGCTTGCTGATGCGGCTGTGGCTATGGCTCATGTGGCCCCTAAGTTTCTAGGTCTTCCTCAGTCTGGATGGCATATTGGTGGCCCAGACAAAAGAGAAACATGGAGAAATCCTGTCTCTACTAAAAATATAAAAATTAGGTGGGTGTGGTGGCGCGTGCCTGTAATCCCAGCTACTTAGGAGGCTGAGGCAGGAGAATCGCTTGAACCCAGGAAGTGGAGGTTGCGGTGAGCAGAGATTGCACCATTGCACTCCAGCCTGGGCAACAAGGGTGAACACTGTCTTAAAAACAGAAAAGAGGCCGGGCACGGTGGCTCACGCCTGTAATCCCAGCACTGTGGGAGGCCGAGGCGGGTGGATCACGAGGCCAACAGATTGAGACCATCCTGGTCAACATGGTGAAACCCCATGTCTACTAAAAATACAAAAATTAGCTGGGCATGGTGGCACGTGCCTGTAATCCCAGCTACTCAGGAGGCTGAGGCAGGAGAATTGCCTGAACCCAGGAGGCGGAGGTTGCGGTGAGCCGAGATTGTGCCATTGCACTCCAGCCTGGATAACAAGAGCGAAACTCTGTCTTAAAAAAAAGAAAGAAAAGAAAAAGGAGCACTAGAGTTAGTAGCAAGGCAGAGTCATGAGGTGCTTATGATGTGATGACTGCTCGGCTGAAAATGTCCTCAGATCACAGTGTTCCTTCTGGCCGGGCGTGGCGGCCCATGCCAATCCCAGCACTTTGGGAGGCTGAGGTAGGTGGACCACTTGAGGTTAAGAGTTTGAGACCAGCTTGGCCAACATGGTGAAACCCATCTCTGCTAAAAATACAAAACATTAGCCAGGCATAGTAGCACATGTCTGTAATCCTAGAAACTAGGGAGGCTGAGACAGGAGAATAACTTGAACTGGGGAGGCAGAGGTTGCAGTGAGCTGAGATCTTGCTACTGCACTCTAGCCTGGGCGGTAAGAGCGAAACTTTGTCTCAAAGAAAAAAAAAAGATGTTATTTCTAATACCTAAAAATAAAGTTTTAGAATATAAATCTATAAATATGAATTTTGTATGACCTTGCAAAAAGAAATATTCAGGCCCAGATGATTTTACTGAGAATTCTATCAACATATAAAGAAGAAAGAGCAGCAAGTCTGCAGTGTCTCTCAGGAAGGAGAGGAGGAGGGAAGGCTTCCCACCTCACTTTATAATTGACATTACTCTGATGCCAAGACTGAAGACAATAGCACATCAGAAAAATACAGGCCAAATAGCCTTCATGAGTTCAGATGTAAAACTCATCCATAAAATACTAATCATCAATTCTAGCCATATGTAAACAGCGTAATACCTGGCGACCGAGTCAGGATTTTCCTGGGATGCAAGACTGCTTTAGTATTTAACAGTCAGTCAGGCCAGGCATGGTGGCTTATGCCTGTAACCCCAGCACTTTGGGAGGCTGATGTAGATAGATCACCTGAGGTCAGGAGTTCAAGATCAGACTGGCCAACATGGCAAAACACCTTCTCTACCAAAAAAGTACAAATATTAGCCGGGTGTGGTGGCACATGCCTGTAGTCCCAGCTACTCTGGAGGCTGAGGTGGGAGCTGAGGTGGGAGAGTCACTGGAACCTGGTAGGTGGAGGTTGCAATGGGCTGAGATCGTGCCACTGCATCCAGTCGGGATGACAGAGTGAGATCCTATCTAAAAAAAAAAATTTTCTTTTTAAAGTTCAGCATAGAGTTATACATGACTGTTGCTACCAAGCTAGCTTGGAAATTTACTGCTTTTGGTCAAAATACACTCTTGAGCTAATGCTTTCTTCCAGCTGGTTGTCTTCCTGCCCGCCCTGTGTCATAAAATGGGGGTCCTTTACTGCATTATCAAGGAGAAGGCAAGACTGGGACATCTAGCCCACAGGAAGACCTGCACCACTGTCACCTTCACACAGGTTCACTCGGAAGACAAAGGCGCTTTGGCTAAGCTGGTAGAAGCTAATAGGACCAGTTACAATGACAGATACGATGAGATCCGCCGTCACTGGGGAGGCAATGCCCTGGGTCCCAAGTCTGTGTCTCATCGCCAAGCTCGAAAAGGCAAAGACTAAAGAGCTTGCCACTAAACTGGGTTAAATGTGCACTGTTGAGTTTTCTGTACATAAAAGTAATTAAAACAATACCAATTTTTCTTTAAAAAGTTATGTATGACTCAGCAGTTCTACTCCTATGCATGTATGTACCCAAGACAAATGAAAACAAAGTCCAGCAAACGTGTGTGTGAATCTTCATAGCACTGTCTTATCATGGCCAAAAGGTAGAAACAACGCCCATGCCCATCAGCTGATGAATGAGCAGACGCATTATGGCATCTCCATGCGATGCAGTACTATTCAGTGTAAAAGGTATTGGAGTGGCCAGACGCAGTGGCTCATGCCTGTAATCCCAGCACTTTGGGAGGCCAAGGCAGGCAGATCACCTTAGGTCAGGAGTTCGAGACCAGCCTGGCCAAAATGGCAAAACCTTGTCTCTACTAAAAATATAAAAATTAGCTGGGCATGATGGGTGCCTGTAGTCTCAGCTACCTGGGGAGGCTGAGTAGGAGAATTGCTTAAACCCAGGAGGCAGAGGTTGCAGTGAGCTGAGATGGTGCCACTGCACTCCAGCCTGGACAACAGAGCAAGAGTCTGTCCCCCACCCCAAAAAAGTACTGAAACCCGTTACAACATTGGTAAGCCTTAGACACATTATGCTGTGGGGACAAGCCAGACACCACGGTCACATGTCCGACGATTCCCATTTATATGAAGAGTATAAACAAAACAAAACAAAGGAATGTCTAGAAGAGACAAACACAGAGATAGCAAGTAGGTTTTAGTAGGCGGGCGTTCGGGAAAAGGTGGAGGATGACTGCTGTTGGATACAGGGTTTCTTTGGGGGATGATGGAGTGTTCTGAAGTTGGCTGTGGCAATGGCCGCGCAACTCTGAAAACCACTGAGTTGTGTACTTTAAATGGATGAACCGTGTGGTGTGTGAATTTTAACCCAACAGAGGTGTTACATGGATAGTGCAGGCGCGCATGCGAAGACATTCTCATGGGCGTAGAACGTACGTGTCTTCCTTTTTCTCTTTGCTCCTCAGGCACCCACTGTTTCCATTGTTAGCTTTGCTGTTTGAAAAGTGTGAGCAATCCACACAGGGCTCTGAGGGCACAACTTCTGCCAGTTTTGATGTAGACATCGAAAATTTCGTAAGGAAGCAAGAGAAGGAAGGGAAGCCCTTCTTTTGTGAAGATCCAGAAACTGACAATTTAGTAAGTAAAATACATTTTATTTTTATTTTTCAAAATGTGAGATCTGTTCCTGAAATCTAAACTTCTAAGTAGAACTTTAGACTGCTTGTAGTTCTTCTAAAGGAAAGGCTCGTGCAACCATAAAATCACTTACTTTTACGGTGTGTGTAATGTGGATAGCCCTGTCTTCAGCCTTCTCTTAGTTTTTATATTTAAACTTATTTTATTTTTGCTAGACACAGGTCTTGCTGTGTTGCCCAGGGTGGTCTCAAACTCCTAGCCTCAAGCAGTCCTCCATCCTCAACCTCCAAAGGCCCAACCTACACTTTCATTTAAAAATCAAATAAAATGAGCCAGGCGTGGTGGCTCATGCCTGTAATCCCAGCACTTTGGGAGGCCGAAGCGGGCAGATAATCTGAGGTCAGGAGTTCGAGACCAGCCTAACCAACATGGAGAAACCCTGTCTCTACTGAAAATACAAAATTAGCTGGTGTGGTGGTACATGCCTATTATCCCAGCTACTTGGGAGGCTGAGAAAGGAGAATTGCTTGAACCTGGGAGGCAGAGGTTATGGTGAGCCAAGATTGCGCCATTGCACTCCAGCCTGGTCAAGAAGAGCGAAACACTGTCTAAAAATAAATAAATAAAATAAAATCATTTGAGCCTCCTTGCTAAATGGACACGGGGATTGGGTTCTCTGTACAGTGTCTGTAAAGGTCTGTGGGGTGGGGCTGGGGTGCTCGGGCAGCCTGCCTGTGCCCCACGTCTGTCCTTCGTTTATCATGGACGTGGACACAGGCTTTATTCTCCAAGACAGCTCTGTCTCAAGGCTGACACTGACTTTCAGTGCCCTCCTCCCAAGGCCGGGGTTCCAAAATGCAAAGTGTTCTGTGCCCTCCAAAGGCAAGCGAGAACTCCTGGGTTCCATCGTCACTGGAGTGCCCTGAGTGAGCTGTGCCCGAGGCACCTGGACGGTGCCGTCAGCATGGTCTGGGCAGGCCGCGCTCTCTGAGTCTGCTCTCCTGCCGGAGTGTAACCACGTGTTTGCTTCCCAGATCTGGGTACACAAAGAACCAGCATCAGGGAACCTTCCCTGGGTTCCTTTTGAGCCATCTTGGTCCCACATCAAAACCCTGGTCAGGGCCTTCAGCAGAAAGGGTTTTTTGAAAACTCATTTTTCCTGAATAAATTGCTGAGATCTTAGTTTTTTAAAAAATTCTCCGTATATGCTCACTGCTTACCACCAAATAGATTTTGCGGGGAATTACCTGACTTGGATCTGTCTCCTTCTCTCTGAAATGAGACTGACAGTGCATGCTCTTTGGGGGTGAGGATCAGAAGCTCTCTCTGCCCCTGAGGCTGTGGTCTGCATCCATCTTCCCATTGGCCCACACCTGGCTTGGCCCCATGAGTAGAGCACAGGTGTCCTCTATACCCCACCAGGCTGGCAGGGACCAAGGTTCTCCTGACTGGTGAGTGTTTAGCACAGGGCCTACCAGAGCTGGACACGCCATCGTTTTTGTTATTGATTGATTCATTAATTCACTGCATAGATGCATATGAATTACTACCACCAGGTTTACAGGTGAAGGAGCTGGGTCTCAGAGTTGCTGATTCATAGGCAGCTGGTACTTATGATGATATGGTTGCATTATTGGTATTATCTATTGCTGTGGGACAGATTACCCAAGAACATAGAACTTAATACAAAACTATACAACTTTGGCCAGCCATGGTGGCTCATGCCTGTAATCCCAGCACTTTGGGAGGCTGAGCCAGGCGGATCACCTGAGGTCAGGAGTTCATGACCAGCCTGACCAACGTGGTGAAACCTAATCTCTACTAAAAATACAAACATTAGCTGGGTGTGGTGGTGCATGCCTGTAGTCCCAGCTACTCGGGAGGCTGAGGCAATAGAATCACTTGAACCCAGGAGGCGAAGGTTGCAGTGAGCTGAGATCGCGCCATTGCACTCCAGCCTCCAGCCTGGGCAATAAGAGCAAAACTCTCAAAAAAACAAAAACAAAACAAAACTATACAACTTTTAGAAAAATCACGAGAGAAAATCTTTAGAATCTAGGACTAGGCGAAGAGTTCTTAGACCTGACACCAAAATGCACGTGATGAAAATGTGGAACCACCTAGGGGGAGTATGGATGTATCCCTATTGTGGATGTAGAGACAGGAGTAGATGAGGTGAGTCACTTGTCCTGAGCGAGTAAGTGGCAGGGCTAGGCTTTGGCTCACAGCCCACACACCTAGCAGTGGGACACGCTGAGGTCGGCACCACGCACCTTTGTCTTCCCTGCACAGCAGATGCAGCCGAATACCAAAGCCCAGGTCAGTGGCACTGGAGCAGCTCATCACTCCATAGGATTCTGATGTGATTCCACCTTGGTTACCGGCAGTGAAGGTGGTTCCATCTAATGACAGAACTGGTGTGTGTGGCATGATAACTTACAATGATGCTACCTTCTCTCTGAAAGGCTTCATTTTCTCTGCTCTAGATGGTGAAAGCAATCCAGGTTTTGCGCATTCATCTTCTTGAGCTGGAAAAGGTTAATGAACTCTGCAAAGATTTCTGCAGTCGATACATTGCTTGTCTGAAAACGAAAATGAACAGTGAGACGCTGTTGAGTGGAGAGCCTGGAAGCCCGTACTCCCCCGTGCAGTCCCAGGTACTTACACTGCGGTTCTTGCTTTACCTCTGCCACGGTGAACACCTGCATTGAGTCGTGAGACCATCAGCTCTTTCAGAATTCGCTGGGTCATCTTACTGGCGCTCTACAAGAAGGACCCTCTAGTCTCTGACCCAGCCTGGTCTGGAAATGAACTCCCTCAGGGTATGAAGTGAGTCCTCAGTCTGCCTACTGGGCCCCATCCCATGTTTATGGAGGGTACAATTCCATTCATTTCTTTATTTCTTCTTAAAAACTTTGTTTGTTCTTTTAAAAAAAACTGTGTAAAATATACGTAATCTAAAATGTATCATCTTAGCTCTTTTACAATGTACAGTTCGGTGCATTAAGTATACGCACACTGTTGGCCAACCGTCAACGCCAGCCATCTCCAGGGCTTTCTCATCTTCTCAAACTCAAACTGACCCCTTGAACACTCATTCCCTAGTCCCCCTGCCCTCGCCCCTGGCACCCACCATTCTATCAGTCTCTGAATTCGACCACTCCAGGCCTCTCATGTTAAATGGAATTGTACAGTGTTTGTCCTTTGGGTCCTTTGCTTATTTCATTGATCAGAATGCCTGTAAGGTTCATCCATGAGGGAGCACTATGGTGTTTTAGCCATTCTGATGATACGATACGTCGTAATAGTAATATTTCTTTGTGGTTTTAATTTTCATTTCCCTGATGACTAATGACGTTGAACATTATGCCCTCTGTGTACCTTTTTTTTTTTTTTTTTTTGAGATGGAGTCTTGCTCTCGCCCAGGCTGGAGTGCAGTAGTTCGATCTCGGCTTATTGCAACCTCCACCTCCCAGGTCCAAGCAATTCTTCTGCCTTAGCCTCCCGAGTAGCTGGGATTGCGGGCACCACCACGCCCAGCTAATTTTTGTATTTTTAGTAGAGTTGGGGTTTCACCATGTAGGCCAGGGTAGTCTCGAACTCCTGACTTTGTGATCCACCTACCTTGGCCTCCCAAAGTGCTAGGATTACAGGTGTGAGCCACCGCAACCGGCTGCTCTGTGTATTTTCTCCGGGTAAATATCTACTTATGTCTTTTGTCTATTTTCTAATTGGATTTTTTTTTTTAACTTCTGAATGTTGAGTGTTCTTTGCTTATTATAGGTACTAGTTCTCTGCTGGGTATATGGTGTGCAGATGTTTCCTCTCACTCTATAGTAGCTAAGTATTTTTTTCATCCTCTTAACAGGCCTTTTTCAGAGCCAACGTTTTTAGTCCTAAGAAAGTTCAGTTTATTAGGTTTTCCTTGTATGGGTCATTCTTTCAGTGTCAAGTCCGAGAACTCTTTGTCGATCCCTAGATCTCAAAGATTTGGTCTTATGTTTTTTTCCTAAAAGTCTTTAAGTAGAGACAAACTTAGACTCCTGGGCTCAAGTGTGAATCACCATGCCCGGTCTCCTAAAAGTTTTATGGTTTTACATTTTACATTTATTCTAACCGTGATCCATTTTGAGTTGATTTTTGTATGAAGTGTGAGGTTCAGCTTGGCTTATGGATGCCCATTTGCTCCAGCACTGTGTATTCAGAAAGCTACTTTCCCCCACGAAACAGCTTTTTGCTGCTTTAGCAGAAACCAGTTGGGCATATTTATGGGCCTGTCTGTCTTCTGCTCCGTTGATCCGTCCGTCCCACAGTCTCGATTACCGTAGCTGTGGAATGAGTCTCAAAACTGGGCAGACTGTTTCTGCCCACCCTGTTATTCCTTTTCAAAGTTGTTGTAGCCATTCTGGTTCCTTTGGCTATCCGCATACATTTTAGAATGCTCTTGTCTAGAGCTACAAAACAATCTTGCTGAGATCTTGATAGGAGTTGCATTACACCTGTCTATCAATGTGGGGAGCACCGGCGTCTTTACCGTGTTGAGGTTTCCATCTACAAGAACGGCATGTCTCTCCCCTGACTGACAGCTCTGATTGCTTTCCTCAGTGTTTTACGGTTTTTGACACATACATTGTGTACATGCGTTTTTAGAATTATACCCAAGCGTTTCCTTTCCTGGCCTGTGCCATCTTGGGTAAAAGTAGCAAGAGCAGACATCCTGGCCTTGTCACTGCCTTAGGGGACATCCTTCAGTCACTCACTGTTCATGATGTCAGTGGCAGGTTTTTTCTAGATCCTCCTTATCAAGTTGAGGAAGTTTCCCTATTTTGCTTTTCTTCGGAGAGATTTTATTTTGTTCAATTTTGTTAAGTGCTTTTCCAGCACTGATCGATCTGACTATGTGATTTTTCTTCTTTAGCCTGTTAATAATGGGCACTACATGGATTGGTGTTTTGAGTACGGAACAAGCTTTCTATTCCTGGAATAAACCCCACGTGGTCATGGCACATAGTTCTTCTCATATGTATTCTTGGATTCCACTGGTTAACGTTCTGTTCGGCACTTCCGTCTGTATTTACGGGATGTTGGTGTGTGGTTTTCTTTTTCATACTGTCTTTGGTTTTGGCATCAAGATACACAAACTTACATGAAATGGATTGGTAACTATTCTCTCCTGTTAGTTTTTTCTGGAGAGTATGTAGACTTGGTGGTAATTCTTAAATGTTCAATAAATAGAATTGGTCTGTTTCACCTAAGATGTTGGATTGAGGAGTTGAGAGTTGGCCTGGTATTCTCTTTAGCCTTTTGGTGTCTGCAGGGTCTGTGGTGATCTCTCCCTGTTTCATTTCTGATACTGGTCTTTCCTGTCTTTTTTTTTTTTTTGGTCAGTCTCTCTAGAGGTTTATGTAATTTTTAAAGAACAGCATTTTGTTTCGTTTATTTTGGGGGGTTGGTGTTTTTCTGTCTTAGCTTCATTGCCTTCACACTCTGACCTTTATTATTTCCTTACTTCTGCTTTGAGTTCACGATGTTCCTCTCTTTCTAAGATCGTAGGTGGGATCTGGGATGATTGACTTCACTGCCTTCACTTTTCTGACGCCCGAATTAATGTGGGCAGCTTTAAGCGTAGCCGCTAAGCTTACACATTCTGCTCGACGGTGGCCCACAGAGTCATCCCCTTGGGATGATGTCCCCTTATGCTATTTAACTGCTCACACATCAGGGCGCGTGAGTGTGCCAGTCCCAGCACTGGAGGCTCCTCTGCCCTACCAGCTGCCCACCCAGGCATCACATTCAGTGGATAAAGTGGTCCATATGGAGCCCTCCGAGGGGCATGGACAAACATTTGCCTGGAGCGCACTGCAGGCCGGGCACAGTCCCAAGCACCATGCAAGCAACAACACCAGGGAAAGCCAAGATCACACTTAGTCTGTGCTGGGGCCAAGAGTGAAGGCGGATGCCAGGGGCCGACTCCCCAGCATGGCTTGGTCACTTCCAGTGCCTCCCAGGCCTGTGGTTTCATCTGTTGAATGTTTTCATTGGTCAAGGAGAGCTTGGTTCATGGAAGACTCAAGAGTCCACCAAGCCAAGTCTAATGAAGAAGGTGGGGGATCAGAAAGCAGGGTCTTCCTAGTCACACCTCCCGGCTGTGAGGCACGTGGAATATGCCTTCAGCGAGAGGAAGATAATCTCTTGGGAGCCACAGTGCAGGCTGACGTTGTGTCTGATACACAGCGCACATCTCGGTTTCCGTGTGTGGTGCGTGCATTCCGAAAGCTGCGCCATCTGAGGATGCTCTTTCCCTCAAGCTTCTCTTTCCTCTTTTAATGGTGTCATGATGCCACTTACTTTGAATTTCTAACCCTGAGTTTTCCGTTTTCTAGTAATTTCTTCCACGTGTGTGTTCTGACTTGCAGCAGATTCAAAGTGCCATGACAAGCACTATCAGCCCCCAGGGAATCGTGGTGCCGGCGTCGGCGCTGCAGCAGGGAAACGTAGCCATGGCGGCCGTGGCAGGTACGATGACGGGAAAATGACGCGCTCTCCGTGAGGTTTTTCGGGAAAAGGTTCTGTGTGTTAGAATGATGATACAAACTGCTTTTAAGTTAATGCCCTTTTCTAATACAGCAATGGTAAAAGCTAGAGGTCTCCGAATGCCTGTTTCTTGTTAATTCTCAATAACAAATATCTTATGCAGATTGTGTTTCTTTGTTTCTCTTCCAAAAATATTTTGGAAACAAGAAAGGTTTTATACAGGAGTTGAAAATATACAGCAAAAAATTATTTGTCATTTTCAAATAACATAGCTTTTAATTGTGTTTTTAATAGACTGTGAAAATCTTGTTTTATCATTAACTGATGACAATCAAATAAAAATGCGGTCTTAGCATTAGTATTATTTGTAGAACAAAAACCACTGTAGGAAGGGGGACAGATTCCAGAGTTCCCTGGTGGGTAGGGAGCAGTGAAGACACAAAGCATCAGCCGGGCACGGTGGCTCACGCCTGTAATCCCAGCACTTTGGGAGGCCAAGGCGGGTGGATCATGAGGTCAGGTGATCAAGACCAGCCTGGCCAACACAGTGAAACCCCATCTCTACTAAAAATACAAAAGTTAGCCAGGTGTGGCACGTGCCTGTAATCCCAGCTACTCAGGAGGCTGAGGCAGGAGACTCTCCTGTACCCGGGAGGCGTGGTTCCAGCGGGCCGCGACCACGCCATTGCACTCCAGCCCGGGTGACAGAGTGAGACTCCATCTCAGACGACAACAACAACCAAACAGACAAAAACAAAACAGCCCGCAAAGCATCATGAAAATGGGACACGGCGAGGAGGGCGGGGTAGAAATTTACCCCGGAAGACCTCACATGGTAGCACAAAGGGAAACCTCAGTGGGAAGAGAAGGCGCTGTTGGTCAAAAATATCACTAGAATAAAGTAGTTGTTATTTAGAACCCTGGGCCAAATCCTTAACATGTGCTAATTTTAGGGAAAAGTAGAAGGAGAGGCTAGCAAAAGGAAGAGAGCCCTCACACCTGAGGTCGGTCAGTGGTGTGTGAGCCGGGCTGTGGGGTCCTGGGCACACAGTGCCTGCCCACCTCCCACCCACTGCTTCGGGTGCCTGAGCAGCCTGCCCGGGGAGTTGGTTTTGATACCTTATAGTGACGAGTCAACTGGCAAAGGATTGTTGATCATTTGAAATGATTTAAAAGCTCATCAAACAAACTAGAGATTTTATTCCTTTGTAAGTATATCAAGAAGAGGGCTGGGGGCAGTGGCTCACGTCTGTAATCCCAGCACTGTGGGCGGCCAGGAAGAGGAGTTGAGGCCAGGAGTTAGAGACCAGCCTGGGCAACAAGGCAAGATCCCTGTTTACAAAAGAAGAAAAAACAAGAAGGATTTAAATCATTGAGACTTATAGGCAGCCTCATTTTGGATTCTCCCTTTCCAGGTGGCACAGTGTATCAGCCTGTCACGGTCGTCACTCCCCAAGGCCAAGTGGTCACGCAGACGTTGTCGCCCGGGACAATTAGGATCCAGAACTCCCAGGTGTGTGTGCCATTTTCTGGAAGGCTTTGGGGGCGAGTGCTGCCCACATGGGGCACAGGTGCAGCAAGCACGAGCCCTTCCCTCTGCCTGAAGAGCCTTTGTCTTGTGTAGCAATTTCTAGTTTCTCTGAATGTCAGTGTTTTCTCTGTACTCTCATCTCTCTCACTGTAGAAAATTTGGGAAGTTCAGAAAATTCTGAAGAAACAGGAAAAAGTCACTCATAACCCTCCCCTCTCCTCCCCCTGTCATCCAGTGCTAACATTGGATCGTGTGTGCCCACCAGGGGCAGAGGTCTCATGGGCACACTCTCCCTGGGGTCCCCACAGAGGGCACGGCAGAACTACCAGGCAAGCCTTTCAGACCAGTGAGGCCGGCCCACGCCTCCACTGGGAGAATGTTGTTGGGCTGGGGCTTTCAGGCCTCGCTGCCCTGTGGCGGCCGAGCCTTCCCCATCATTGGTGTGTGTTACTGGTTCTTACTTTAAGAACGTTGATTCTGGGCCGGACATGGTAGTCCCAGCACTTTGGGAGGCCGAGGCAGGCGGATCACAAGGTAAGGAGTTCAAGACCAGCCTGGCCAACATGACAAAACTCTGTCTCTAAAAATACAAAACTTAGCTGGGTTCAGTGGTGCATGCTTGTAGTCCTAGCTACCAGGGAGGCTGAGGCAGAAGAATTGCTTGAACCTGGGAAGCAGAGGTTGCAGTGAGCTGAGATCATGCCACTGCACTCCAGCCTGGGCAACAAGAGTGAAGCTCTGTCTCAGAAAAACGAAAACAAACCCACATGTTTTTGAGACTTTGCAAAACTAAAGACGACTTTATTTTGACCTCATATTTGATATGCAGTCTGTTTACTTGTAGAATTCCAGGTTGAAAATTCTTTCTACCCCATGTTGGGAAAGCATTATTTTTGTTTTTTGTTTTTCTGAGACGACGTCTCACTCTGTTACCCAGGCTGGAGTGTCGTGGTGTGACCTTGGCTCACTGCAACCTCCACCTCTCAAGTTCAAGCGATTCTCCTGCCTCAGCCTCCCTAGTAGCTGGGATTACAGGCATGTACCACCATGCCCAGCTAATTTTTGTATTTTTAGTAGAAATGGGGTTTCACCATGTTGGCCAGTCTGGTCTGGAAATCCTGGGCTCAAGCAGTCTGCCTGCCTCTGCCTCCCACAGTGCTGGGGTTACAGGCGTGGGCTGCTGTGTCCGGCTCTCAAGAAGGTTGTTCTTTTTTCCAATCTTTTGTGCTTTTCTCCTCTTACAGAAGCTTCTTTTTTTTTTTTTTTTTTTTTTTTCTTTTTGAGCCAGAGTCTTGCTCTGTTGCCCAGGCTGGAGTGCAGTGGCATGCTCTCAGCTCACTGCAACCTCCGCCTCCTGAATTCAAGCAATTTTCATGCCTCAGCCTCCAGAGTGTCTGGGATTACAGGCGCAAGCCAGCACACCCAGTTAATTTTTGTATTTTCAGTAGAGATGGGGTTTTTACCTTGTTGGCTAAGCTGGTCTCGAACTCCTGACCTTGTGATCAACCCACCTTGGCTTCCCAAAGTGCTGGGATTATAGGCATGAGCTACCACGCCCGGTGAGAAGCTTCTCTTTTCTTGCAGGTGCTCTGATTTTTTTTTTTTTTAAATAAAGAGACAAGGTCTCACTCTGCCACCCAGGTTGGAGTACAGTGGAGCAAACAGCCCATTGTAGCCTTGACCTCCCAGGCTAAGCAATCCTCCCATCTCCACCTCCTGAGTTGCTGGGACTGCAGGCATGTGTCACCTTGCCCAGTTAATTTTAAACTTTTTATAAAGACGAAGTCTCACTATGTTGCCCAAGCTGGTCTCGAACTCCTGGGCTCAAACAGTCCTCCTGCCTTGGCCTCCCAAAGTGCTGGGATTACAGGTGAGTCACCGTACATATTAGGTTTATATGCAAGTTCTTAAATAGGCTGACCTATCCGTGCTGCGGGCCCTCCAGAGTGGTCTCCCTTCCTCCCCTCACTGCTCTGTGCAGTGTTCAGTGGCAGTGTCATCTCAGCAGGCACCTGGCGAGGCTGTGTGAGAGGCGCTGTGCCAGAGCCTGAGCACCGCCTTGTGACGCGTAGATCATCTCTTGTGTTTTGTGAGAAGGAATTTAACAAAGAAACGCCATTCACATCTTTTTCTTTTAAAATCGAGTCGGCAGAGTAGCCTGCCCTTTCCTGGGTGACGGGAGGGAAGGCCTGGCTTGCCAGTACCTGCTGAGGCGTCTGGAACAAGGAGTCGGCCTGTACCCTCCTGCTCTGCGGCTCCTCTTCCTGCCTTCGTGCTGTTTCTGTTTCTTTTCCCTGTGCTTCCCTGGCGTGTCCTGCTCTTGAGAGTTGGATTTTCTGGTGTTCCTGTTCACTCTCATTGGTTCTTGAAATCCCTTTTCAGTGAGGAAGTCACATGTTCTCTCTGCCCTCTCTGTAGGAGGCACAGGTGGGAGCAGATGCTGGGGGAGAGGGTCACGGTGCGATGGGCTCTGAGCCTCCCCGCCTGAGAGGCCTGAGAGCCGGGTCACTAGTGCAAAGACTTATCCCGTGCCAGCCTGGGCATCAGGGTGGGACCCTGTCTCTACAAAAATTAGAAGAAATTAGCTGGGTGTGGTGATGTGTGCCTGTGATCCCAGTTACCCAGGAGGCTGAGCTGGAAGAATCACTTGAGCCCAGGAGTTCAAGGCTGTAGTGAGCTGTGATTGCACCACTGCACTCCAGCCTTGGTGACAGAGCAAGATCTTATCTCGAAAGAAAGAAAAGCCCAATAATGTGGAGGGAGTGGTGTCCTAAAACGTCAGCCCACACAGGGTTCCCGTGTGTGTGCCTTGACTACGGGTCATTCACCTGGCCGATCCTTGGCTGCTTTCTCCACCTGGAGTTGTAAGTACTTGGATATGTGGGAACTTCCTATGCTTTCTAATGTCATTTCTCAATTGTGTAAAAGCTTCAGTTACAGTTAAACCAAGATCTCAGCATCTTGCATCAAGATGATGGTTCATCTAAGAACAAGAGGGGCGTCCTGCCGAAGCATGCCACGAACGTGATGCGGTCCTGGCTCTTCCAGCACATCGGGGTAAGGACGGCTGCGCCGGCCCCCGCCTCCCAGCCCTCTGCAACACTGGCCTTTTGGCTTATGTGTCATGGAAAAGGGTTACTTCTCTAGGCTCAGAAAGTCCAAGACCTGACTTTCAGGGCTTCGTGGCATGTCTATAACGGGGGGGAGCTGGGGCGAGAGGGAGGGCCACCGACAGCAAGAGGACACTGCTGCAGGAAGCATGAGGGACAGTGAGGGCTGCCGCCAAGGAGCAAGCCGGGCACGTGTGAGCTGTACCTGTGCATGAGACAGCCCACCGCGAAGGGCGATGGGGTCAGGTGAGCCAGAGAAGTGGGCAGAGAAAGGAGTCAGGGTGTTCTTGGGCAGCACCTGGGGAAGTTGCCCTGTGATTGTGTGTTGGATTCGCAGGGAAGCTGAGATCAGTTAGAGACATCACAGGGTCGAGTGCACCCACAGGGCCACATGGTGGGTTGCCTTTCTCTGGAAGGGAGTCTGTCCCAGAGGGAGCGCCGGTTTGCTCAGTGTGTGTGTACCTGGCTCCCTCCCCTGGGCATGATCGTGGGTTCTCCCTGTCCCAGGACATCTTAGGAAGCGCAGTGGTGGGTCGGCTTGCTGGGTTGATGGGGGAGACCCGCTCTGCACGCTGTGTGGCACCATTGCTACCAGCCTCCTGACCCAGGGCGGAAGAGAGCAGGCGGGGCTCTCCTAGGGCAAGCACAGGGAGACTGAGGCAGGAGGCAGATGCCAGTTTGGCTTGGCCATCAGGTTGCCCTTCTCCCCCCACTGTCGCCGCTGACGGCTGTGAAGCTGTGACTGTATCCTCCCGTCTTCTCAGCCTCCGCCTCGTTTTTCTGTGCCGCACCTGCGCTTCTGCTGCCTCCTCTCCTGGGTGCCTCCACTGGGGCTGAGGCCTGTGTGTCCCTGGCACTCTGTCCTTGCCCTCCCCGACCGTGGGCCCCCAAGCCCATGGCCATCTCGTGGCCTGCTTTCCTGTGGCTGCCTCAGGCTCCTCGGTTGAGGACGGGGTCCATGGGAATGACTGGCTGAGGGTTTGAAACGGTGGGTACCGTTGCTGAGCCGTCCTGGGAGGGGAAGGGCCCCTCTCCGGGACAGAAGGCCTGGCAGGAGCCTGGGGTGTGTCCCCCGCTTGCCGGCCCTGGCCTCTTGATCTCCACTGCACTGCTTCCGTGGGCTAAGGTGGCGAGCCCAGCCGCACATGTCAGGAGAAAGAAGTGCTACCTTTAAGCAGTGGGGCCACTCCGAGAAATTGGCCCAAGGAGATCAGTCACAAGAAAACAGAAAGTTTTATGTGTAAAAATGTTGCTTTGTTGTTCAATATCATCATGGGAAGCGGATCAGCATGTCTGTTCGGTGAGTATCACGTGGGAAGTTGGCATGGTGAATGGGGCTCTAAGCACTCAGGAGGTGTAAATGACAGTAGGAAAAAGGCAGCATGTAGGTATTCTCACATAAACTGGGACTGTTCCAACCAGTAAACACATGTATAATTATAGAAGAACACGGAGTGGTGGGATTGGGCAAGCGCCCTCCTTTTAATGACTTGTGAAACGCTCAGCCCTGCTCGCCGTGTCCGGCGCAGGAGCCGCATTTCTTCTGTGGCATTCTCAGTCCCTCCTCGCCCTCGTTTCCCGGCAGCACCGCCCCGCTGCACTTTCCCACACACTCGAGTGTGGCATCTGTTGCCGTTGCTGTTTTCTGCTTGTGTGCCCGAGTTTCCTGCCCGGTTTCTATTTCATGGGCTTTTTTAAGGGGGAGAACAATATTTATGTTTCCGTGACCTTGAGCTCAGGGCACACACTGGTGGATAGTCAGGTTGAGTCGTGCTGCCGGCGAGTTTGAGGAAAGAAACATCCCTGCTGAGGCACATCCGAGGCCGATCGTCCCTCCCGTGAGAGAAGCAGGGCCGTGTCCATGTCGCCGAGTGTTCCTTCCACATCAAAGCCGCGGGAAACTCCCACTGCTTCCTTTGTTGGTGCCATTCATTCTCTTGGGTCCCTGTTGGTCCAAAATCAGGGACTTGAGTGCATTCAGGTTTGCAATAAATGTGTCAATTTCCACGTATAGACAGTCATCAGTCTTGGAGAAATTATTTAGCATAGCTATACATCATTTTTGGTTAATACTTCTGTGAGTTAGTTTTTTCTTTCTTTTTTTTTTAATGGAGTGTTGCTCTTGTTGCCCAGGCTGGAGTGCAGTGGTGTGATCTCAGCTCACCGCAGCCTCTGCTTCCCAGGTTCAGGCAATTCTCCTGCCTCAGCCTCCTGAGTAGCTGGGCTTACAGGCACCTCCCTCCACGCCAGGCTAATTTTTTGTATTTTTAGTAGAGATGGGGTTTCACCATGTTGGCCAGGCTGGTCTTGAACTCCTGACATCAAGTGATCCACCTGCCCTGGCCTCCCAAAGTGCTGGGACTAAAGGCACGAGCCAGTGCACGTGGCCCTCTGGTTGAAGTTTTCATATGTGAAATGTTTCAATCACACATAAAAGAAGAAGAGCATAATGGGCCTTCTGTCGCCGGCCCTGGGTTCAGTTCTTTACTGACAGCACAGGTTAATCTGGCAGAGACCCCATCCCAAGAAAGCCGTCGATGGCATCAGCCCATCCCAGTGTCAGTTTACTCTTGTTGACCAGTGATGGAAGTGTGTCCCCCAGCCTGCCCGGCCATTTCCTGCTCCACCCACTTCATCAGCTGCGGGATGGGGGAAGTTTGCAAACTCTCCATGCCCCAGTCTCCTCCTCTGTAAGATAAAGCCAATGGCAGTGAGCAGCTCAGGAGTCAGTGGATTACTATAGCATGGACCAAGGTAATAGAAACGTGCTCATGTGTTATGTCTTGCCTGTGGCAGGTTCTCAGGCCCAACTCATCCATCCATCCTCTTTAAATGGATGTCATTGATTGTTCATAAGTTAAAGTTCAATAACGTTGGTAGAAAATCTATAGATGGCATCAAGCCTGGCACAGACTCACCGCTGGGCTGTGCAGCTGCTCCTGTTGTTGTCACCTTTGAACTGTTAGATGTGGCTGCAGTCCTCCTTGGCCCGTGCACTGACCAGCCACTGCGGCACTAGGACATTCCTGGGGACCAGGAGAAAGACTTCGTTCTGTAAGACTGCAGTTAGGTTTGGGCTGGAAGCACTGTTGATGTTACCGTTATTTTCAGACGATTGTGTAATGCTCACGTTTCACCTAGATACCCTGATTTCCTACACTCAAAGGCCGTGGTAACCTTCCTCTCTACTTTCAGCATCCCTACCCAACAGAGGACGAGAAAAAACAGATTGCTGCTCAGACAAATTTGACGCTACTCCAAGTCAACAACTGGTAAGGTGCCCTGCTTTCCGAAGCCGTGCCTGTCAGCACGGTGGCGCGCTCGGAAGCCCTGACACTCACACAGCATGGTGAAAGCTTGCTGAAAATACGAGATCTCTCTTTTTTCTTTTTCCCAATTGAGAAGGGGTCTTGCTGTGTTGCCCAAGCAGATCTCAAACTCCTGGCCTCAAGTGATCCTCCCACCTCAGCTTCTCAAAGTGCTGGGATCATGGGTACGAGTCACTGTGCCTGACTAAAAATATGAGTTCCTTTCATGGGCAGTGGGAGCAGGAGACTGAGGAATAAACCAGATTTCATCTGAGCTTTCCTATCGGCACCTCGTGATGGACTGCACCCTGCCCGCCTCTTTAGAACCGTTTCTCTAGGGTGCTACTGTCACCAGGCCCACATTCATACAAACTGTGCTGTATTAGTAGATGGGCCTCTGGAGGGTGGGAGGCCAGCAGTGACAGGCCCTGCCCAGATTAGGACCCTCTGCTGCTCTGTCTTGTGGGGGCCCTGCTCCACGCATGGCAGTCCGGGAGCCACTCCCAGGACAGAAACACCCAGGAGGACATTTCCTGAAGCGGCCCCTTGTAGTGCTGCTGTCAGGCGTTGCTGTGGACACGTGCGCTCTGGCAGACGTTCTTCCGTCGGTCAGAGCTTGCGCGTGTGCCGACGTGGCACTAGGTGGGGGTGGGCTTCCATCTTGCTTGTTAGTCACGTGTCTCCTGTTTATTTACTTGCTGGTCAGCTGTAGCAGACAGTTTGATCTTAATAAAATTGGCATAACAGCAGAAAGCACAAATTGTTCGGGTTGTAAACATTATTGTCTTTATCTCGACTGTGCTAAAATGTGAGCTTGCTGAAGTTCCAGCACGAAGGTCTTCGTGTTTGTGCAGTGCGCCTGCGGGAGGTCGGCTCTGGGCGGCATTAGCACGTCCCTCGTCTGTCACAGCACACTAGACCATTTGAGTTATTTTCTGTTAAATCTTTTTTTTTTTTTTGAGACAAAGTCTTGCTCTGTTGCCCAGGCTGGAGTGCAGTGGCACAGTCTCAGCTCACTGCAACCTCTGCCTCCTGGATTCTCCTGCCTCAGCCTCCCGAGTAGCTGGGACTACAGGCACCCACCACCACGCCTGGCTAATTTTTGTATTTTTGTAGAGATGGGGCTTCACTATGTAGGTCAATCTGACCTCAAACTCTTGACCTCAAATGATCTACCCGCGTCGGCCTCCCAAAGTTTCGGGATTACAGGCATGAGCCACTGCTCCCAGCCAAATCTTTTGAGGAGAATATTAACAAAAATTTCAAGATTGTGAGTGTGTTGTTGCTACGATGTTGTCACATACTGCTCATGTTCTGGGTTGTTTTCCTGGAGTCTATGTCGAAACCACATCCATTGGTGGGGCACACCCATGGCAGGTGGTCTGAAGGGGAGGATGCTGGACACAGGCCTCTCTGGATGTGCTGCTGCCCCCTCGCCGCTCAGCACCCTCCCGCCTTCTTCATTCGTCACGGCCTGTGTTCCTGACTTGCTGCTGTGTTGCCTTAACAAATCGTCTTATCTAGGTTTGGCATCAACTTTGATTTTAATATTAACTACAGTTTAGTAATATGCCTTAAATTCCAGATCTCTGAAATCTTGAATATTTGTAGCTACTTTTACTTTTTGTGATTTTCTTTTCTTCTGTATTTACAAACATTTCATCTTGGAGGGAGATGTACACATCCAGCATTAGCTCGTGCCTGTGCCGGTAGCAGCTTTGGATAAGAAGATTTAAAAACACGTTCCAGTAGCGGCACGGCCTTCCCACCAGGTCTCGGGGTCTCAGGTGGCCGTGGAGCTGGTGCTGCAGGGACCTCTGGGTCCCTCTAGATGAAGCATGGCGGCATCCGAGCTGGCTCACTATTACTCAGAGCATCTTGTACATGTTTTAAAATCTTGGACTTTTAAAATGAAGCAACCTTAGAGCTGATCCAGTTCTAGTTCTGTTGTTTTGCAAAGGGGGGCATTAAAAAAAGAGAGACGTTGTCACAGTGACAAGCCAGGGTAGAATCTGAGTCTGAAAGCAATGCTTTTATTTCCCTGACACGGTGAACGTGGCTACTCAACTATCCAGATGTGGAAGTCTGGCTTTTACTAGACGAGCAGTGTGTGAATCCAGCGGGGTCAGCTACTTTCTCACTCCTGTGACCGAGAACAGAGACAGAAATGAGGCCTTAAGCATGGCGGGCGTTGCCGCTGCTGTGTTAGGTTAGGGTGACATGTGAGTCTGGACTGTTCTGCTTTGATAGGCGCTTCCACGGGACGACGGTTGTTTTTCTCTCTGTTTCTTCCCGTTGCAGTTCCTTTTGTAGCAGAGCGGCCCGGTCAGTAGCATGGGGTGGTCACTGTGGCAGAACGTGTGTCGGGCTCATTATCTTCGTGCTCCAGTCACTGCAGGAGGAAAAACCGGCCTGGGGATTTGAGTCTCCTTGCACTTTCTCATATCCAAAGGCAACAGCTCAGAGCATAGAATGGGAACTGGCCGGGCACGGTGGCTCACGCCTGTAATCCCAGCACTTTGGGAGGCCGAGGCGGGCAGATCACTTGAGGTTGGGAGTTCGAGACCAACCTGACCAACATGGAGAAACCCCGTCTCTACTAAAAATACAAAAATTAGCTGGACATGTTGGTGCATGCCTGTAATCCCAGCTACTTGGGAGGCTGAGGCATGAGAATCTCTTGAACCTGGAAGGTGGAGGCTGCAGTGAGCCGAGATGGTGCCACTGCACTGCAGCCTAGGTGACAAGAGTGAAACTCTCAAAAAAAAAAAAAAAAAACAGCATTCAAGAACGGGAACTGAAGACAGCAGGCTTTCATCTTAGGTGTGTTTCGGGATTGTTGCCATACTCAGTTGATGTGAAACAGCGTCCGGCCTGCCCCGCCAGCCTGCGATTGCTGCTGGTCTCGCTCTCTGTGGAGTCTTACCCCAGGCCTGAGGTCTTAGTGTCACAGAGCCGCTAGCGTCCGTCGGGGATTCCATCACTGCCGGTGCCCAGGGGCTAAGGAGTCCTGTGTCTAGGGCCACTGGACGACTTATGCCTTCGGTCATCTCAGAAACAGCTCATCGCTGGGAACCGTGTTTGAAAAGATGCAGCTCTTGCCTTAGCTGGTGCTTTGTGGGAAAGCCAGGGTTGGCAGTCCTGTTCCCTGGCGGCTCAGACAGGTTGCCACCCCAGGCTCGGCCACACTGGTGATCTGCAGACTGCCCGATGGTCTCAGGCATGATGGCAGCACAGGACACAGAAAGTCTCGCTTCTTGGATGTTTTCCTTCCTTAGGGAAAACAGTGTGAAATTCACAGATTCAGCAGGATCGCTGTGTTCTCATGAGTGTCCAGTTGACAAACATGCACTAAATGAGTTGAGGCAAAAAAAAAAAAGTGCCAGGGATGAGTTGGTCCTTATGTACATGATTTTAACACAACAGGCGCGCTGTTTCCGGCCACTTAGATGATTTAGAATAGCTGTCGAGTCCTCTTAAGTAGTTATGATAGAGGAGAGCATGAGTTATTCTTCGCAGCGTGGTTCACAGAGCGGTGTGTGTTAGGAGGATTCGTTAGTCCTGTATAGGGTCTTTACGAAGCCGGTTTTGATGGAAGCTTCCCTTTGTTGACTCCAGGTTCATCAATGCCAGAAGACGAATTCTTCAGCCAATGTTGGATTCCAGTTGTTCAGAAACTCCCAAAGCAAAGAAAAAAACTGCTCAGAACCGGCCAGTTCAGAGGTTCTGGCCCGACTCCATTGCATCAGGAGTCGCACAGCCGCCGCCGAGTGAGCTCACCGTGTCAGAAGGTACGGGCGACTGGCCAGGGCCAGACGTGCTGGACCGTGGGGTGGGGACTCTGAACAGGAGGCCTGGATCGGGCCTGTTAGCTCTGAGCCTCAGGTAGTGCGGTGAACCAGAGTACGTGTCCTTCTCTTTCTCTGCAACAGAAACACGGGACCCGGCATTCTGGGTGCGTGGGAGCTCTTGGTAACAGTAAGGAGCCCCAGTAGCAGGAAATGTAAAGCACATGATAGAGACAGGAAATCATTCGTTCTGTTCACAGACGCAGCCACGGACACTGGGTTCTCCTTTACTTCCGCGTTTGCTCTCCTTTTCCCTCCCACCCTGTTCTCACCATGTGGCTTCTTTTTCTTCATCTGCCTTGCCCTTCTCTTGTTTTTCCTTATTCCCTGTGACCTCTGCCCTCCGTCCCTGTCATAGGCAGCCATTCTGATGTATTTTATATGAATCTTTCTGTTTTTCATATATTGGATGGTTTTGCGTGCATGTGTTTTTTTTTTTTTTGAGATGGAGTCTCATTCTGTTGCCCAGGCTGGACTGCAGTGGTGTGATCTTGACTCACAGCAACCTCCGCCTCCTGGGTTTAAGCAAGTCTCTGCCTCAGCCTCTCAAACAGCTGGAATTACAGGCACCTGCCACCACACCTGGCTAATTTTTTTTTTTTTTTTTTTTTTGTATTTTTACTAGAGATGGGGTTTCACCATGGTCTCGAACTCCTGACCTCGTGATCCACCTGCCTGGGTCTCCCAAAGTACTGGAATGACAGGCATGGGCCACTGCGCCCAGCCCTTATGCATGTGTTTTTAAGTGTATGTAAATGGTGGTATTTCCTCTTCTTTCTTTTTTCAGTTAGGAAAATTTGGACCCATTATTTCTTTAGCCACATTTTCTGACCTTCCTCCTGCAGCCTTTTCAGGGACTTGAGTGCCTGTGTATTAGGTGGTGAAAAGTTTCACACGGTTGCTGATGTGCTTTTCAGTTGGTCAGATTGTTTCATTTTGGGTGATTTCTGTGACTCTCCTTCCACTGCTCTTTCTTCTGCTGACCCATCCCATGTGCTTTCCTTCGTAGACATGGGTTTCATCCCTCCAGAAGCTCCGTTTGAGTCTCTTAGGTCCTTTGTGAGTCTGCTTAAGTTTGGAACACACAGAATACAGGTGCAGCAGCTGTTTCGATGTCCTCTCCGAATTCTAACACCCGTCAACTTGGCTCAGTTTTATTTATTTATTTTTTTTGAGATGGAGTTTCGCTCTTGTTACCCAGGCTGGAGTGCAATGGCGCGATCTCGGCTCACCGCAACCTCCGCCTCCTGGGTTCAGGCAATTCTCCTGCCTCAGCCTCCTGAGTAGCTGGGATTACAGGCACGCGCCACCGTGCCCAGCTAATTTTTTGTATTTTTAGTAGAGACGGGGTTTCACCATGTTGACCAGGATGGTCTCGATCTCTTGACCTTGTGATCCACCCGCCTCGGCCTCCCAAAGTGCTGGGATTACAGGCTTGAGTCACCGTGCCCGGCCTTGGCTCAGTTTTAGCTGACTGCTTCTCCCCCGATAGTGGGTGTCCCTGCTTCCTTTCGTGGCTGGTCATCTGACTGGACGCCAGGCACTGGGAATTCTGCCTTCGGAGGGGCCGGATGGTTTTGTGTTCCTGTAAGTCTTCTCGAGCTTGGCTCTGGAGGGCAGTTATGCCACTTGGGAGCTGCGTGATCCTCATGAGTGGTCCGCAGCCGTGCTCAGGCTGGTATGGACTATCCCAGTGGAGGCCAGACCCTCCTGAGTTTTCCATCCAGTGGCTGCAGACAGCGAGTTTTCCAGGCTGCCTGTGTGAGTGCTGGGCTCTGTTCCCTGTGGTCTTTTCCCCCAGCCTCAGGTCAGTTCCTTGCAGCAGGAGCTGATGGGTTCTCCACGGAATGCGCAGGGGACGTTGGTGGTGGTGCTGGCCCCCAGGTTAGGGTGGGTTGTGAGTCACACTCACTTTGTGTCCATTTAGCCTTTCTTGGGTTGTGTTACATGCATTTAAAGCAAGTGTCCTCGAGTACTGCTGTGGCTGCATCGTTTAGGTTTTCGTGTGTAGTGGTCTCCCATTTAAAGAATGAATAGCTAGAAAGTTACTGTTCCCTTCTTTCCCCCCTTTCTCTGTCTCCCTCTGTCAGAAAAGGCAATGCCTGTCTACTGAGGAAAGACACTGAAACAAGAATATTCCGTGAAGAGTAAATCTCTCTTCCATCCTGGCTTCTGCTTCTTCAGAGACAGTCGTTGTTACCAGTTTCCTGTACAGCCTCCAGTGCATGCACGATAGGATATTGACTGCCAGACACAATGAATGGATGAATGTGTCACCCTTAACATCTTACCCAGGTGTTAGCATATCATGTAACACTGTCTGTTTTCCTTCGTTACTCATTAACGCGTCTCGCAGAATTTCACAGATGAGTGGACGTCGGTCCACTGTATGGTTGAGTAGCAGCATGCCATTCCATTGTTCAGTGTTTTGTTTTACTTTTTTGAGACAGGGTCTTGCTCTGTCTCCCAGGCTGGGGAGTGCAGTGGAGTGAGCTTGGCTCACTGTGGCCCCTTGACCTCCTGGACTCAAGTGAGCCTCCCACCCCAGCCTCCTGAGTAGCTGGGACTACAGGCATGCATCACCATGCCCAGGGAGTTTTTCCCATGTTGCCTCCCATGTTGCCCAGGCTGGCTGGTCTGGAACTCCTGGCTCAAGGGATCCTCCCTCCTTGGGCTCTCAAAGGGCTGGGATTATAGTTGTGAGCCACTGTGCCCGTCCTCTGCATTGTTGAGTGTTTTAATTTGGGCCTTGCTCATGGCTTTTTGGGCTGTTTCCATCATCCGCTGTTAGGCTCTACAGCAGACACTGGCATGTGACAGCTTCTCTTCCTTTCATGCAGACCTTCCTTCCTCCTCCTGTGTTCTCCTTTTGTGTGTCTTCCTCCTGTGTGTTTGGGTTTTCTTGTTATTACAACACAGTTTGCTTCACGGATCTGTGTTCTTTACAGTCCTGATCTCCACGGAGGGTGTTCTTAGGCCGAGGCTTCATTAGCTAAGGGTGGTCCGAGGCCAATTTCAGAAACAGTGTCTTCAGTCCCTGTTGAACATTCCCTACACATATGTAGGTGTTTCTTTAACTTTAGGAGAAACGAGCAAACAGCACCCAATTGAGTAAGAAAGTGTTTTTCCGTGAGCACTAATTTAAATAGTGACACACCCTCATCCTGCCGCAGGAGCCGTTGTGACCATCACCACACCCGTGAACATGAACGTGGACAGCCTTCAGTCTCTGTCCTCGGACGGGGCCACCCTGGCGGTGCAGCAGGTCATGATGGCAGGGCAGAGCGAGGATGAGTCTGTGGACAGCACAGAGGAGGACGCGGGCGCCCTGGCCCCTGCACACATCAGCGGGCTCGTCTTGGAGAACAGCGACTCCCTGCAGTAGGACGGGGGAGCAGACTCACCTGACTTTTCATAGTTTGCACAGCAAACATTTTACACAGTTTTATTTCTAATATGTTTTATATGTAGATATAGAAGAGTGCACTTTTGTATTTCATAGTAAGCTTAAAGCGCGTCTTTGCCGGTGCAGCGACTTCTTTCAAGTGTGTGTGTGTGTGTGTGTGTGTGTGTGTGTGTGTGTTGTGTGCGCGTGCATACATGCGTGTGTGTGTATTTTTAAAGAAATTCTTTAAAGGTTTAACGCTAGATATGTGAGGAATGACACACCACTCCCTCCCCACCTTGAATCCCTAATTAGATTAAGGAAAAGCGCTGCTGTTTTCTAAACCGGGGTGCAGTTTTCACTTAGCGCTGTGGTTCCAGCAGATCTCAGTGGGCTGGTTTTTTTGTGTGGCCCATGATTTGAAAGAAGCTTCTGCACCCGAAACTACCAGTGTGCGGGCCCGCGGCACGCGCCTAGACTGAGTTTGGGTTCATCGTGGTGGATGGATGGCGAGCTCAGCAAGCCCAGGCCCCTTGTGTTCAGTGAGCCTGTTTCATTTGCTATATATAAAAAAGAAACTCCTATTTTTACCTTGCTGGAATTATTGGATAAAAAAGCTATTTTTATAAATTCGTTATAAATTGGATGATGACTATATTGAGGATAAAATTTCTAGAGAAGAAACAATACACGCTTGCTATTAATGTTTCAATTTGGAATGTCTTGAACTGAGCAAATTTAATGAGCCTGCCCAAAGTCGGCCGCCGGCCCCTGGTTCTTTGCTCTCCTGGGGCAGTGAGGAACACTGACTGCTGCAAAGGAAGCAGCTGTTTCGTGAAATTTGACATCCGCACATTTTTGTTGGTATGTAATGCTCAGATTGCATTTCACACCTGATCTAAACGTGGATCGAAGGGTATTTGCTAAACAGGACTTCAGGTAAGTGAGGTGAGATGGTAGCGGTGATGAGTTAGGAGCTGTGGGCACACACACTCCAGTTCAGTTCAGATCTGACCACAGTGGCATGGTGGTTTCACCATGCTAGCTGTGCATTGTTTTAGAAGTTTTTAATTCAAAATATGTTATGCATAGAATGTTTATTATAAGCTAATAGAAAATGTGCTCTGCCCCACTGGCCCAGAGCTAGGGTAAACAGCAGATACTCACACTTGATTACTTAACTTGCAGACTTAACTTAACCTGGAGTCACAGCCGTGGGTTGGTCTGGCGAGGGCGCAGCAGTGGCCCCCACGGGTTGGCTCTCACGTTTGCATTTGCGGCTGTCTCCTGCCTGCTGTCAGTGTTTGTCATACATTGTCGCTTCCAACTTCCCAGAGCCTTCCCGCTCACTTGACCACGTGGGATTTGGAATAACTGTAGGCCTTCTGTTTCCTGGCGATGAGATGAACTGAGAGAGCGGGCTGGGTTCTGTTTTGTTTGGTTTTGGTTTGTTTTTATTTGTTTACTTAGGAGTGGGGCTTTTTCTCAGACAGAAAACAGGCCACGGTGTTTCATACAGAGTGTCTTTACGCCGTCTGAAGCGGTGTTTCATACAGAGTGTCTTTATTCCGTCTGAAATGCTGTGGCTGAAGCTCATTTGTAACATCAAGAGTATCGTCAGTTCTTGAGGTTCACCAGTAGTGATTGTTTGTAAGCCAAGGGACATTTTATGCTAGTGAAGAGTTTTTTTCTGGAACTGATTTTTCCCAAAAAATGTATTAATTGAAGTTAATCATAGGAGAGTATCCAGATAACTTAGAAGTCAGCAGGAAACACACAGAAATTTATTTTAAAATCTTTCAGGAATTTTAACTGAAAGACTTGATTATTAATTCTTTCGGGGAGAGAATGACATCTTTTTTTTTTTGAGGTGGAATTTCGCTCCTTTTTCCCAGGCTGGAGTGCAATGGTGCGATCTCGGCTCCCTGCAACCTCTGCCTCCCGGGTTCAAGTGATTCTTCTGCCTCAGCCTCCTGAGTAGCTGGGATTACAGGCGTGCGCCATCACGCCCGACTAATTTTGCATTTTTAGTAGAGACAGCGTTTCTCCGTGTTGGTCAGGCTGGTCTCGAACTCCCGACCTCAGGTGATCCACCCCCGCTCCGCCTCCCAAAGTGCTGGGATTACAGGCGTGAGCCACTGCACCTGGCCAAGAATCACATCTTACAGCCACCATTGCATTCCTTGTTTGTGAACCATTTTTTTTGGTATTTTAATTCAGGTCTACAAGATCATTTTAACTTAAATGCCAACTTTGTTGGACGTCTTAAAATGAGCCCTCGTGAAAGCCAGCCAGCCTTTCCTCCTTCCCTCACCCCCCTCTGTCTCCTCAACAGCCTGCTCTTTAGTGTGGGTTAGTGGAAGCCAGTCACAGAATGGAGACTGATGTATAGGTCACTGTTTCTTTCCCCCACCAGAAGTCACATTCGCTGAGCAGTGGGTTGAATTTAAGAGCACTGCCCGAGCCGGGCGTGGCAGGGCCTGCCTCTAGTTCCAGCTAGTCGGGAGTCTGAGGCGGAGGCTGGCGTGTGCCCAGGCGTTTGAAGCTGCAGTGCGTTATGCTTGCACCTGTGAATAGCCACTGCGCTCCATCTTGGGCAATGTAGTGAGACCCCGTCTATAAAAAGAGGGCACTGCATGAATCTAGGTGGCACTGGGAAGCTGTGGCCTGAGAGTTAAGGTTCGTGCTGAATGGTACAGTGTTCACTCTCTCCAGCTGAAAACTTCCTTCAGCGTTCCTCGATTCTTACTAAATTCAGAGGAGTAGGATAAAGATGACTTGAAGAGAGGGTGCTTATGGGCATAGCCCGAGCTTCCTTTAACCTGTCTCCATGCATAACCAGGGTGCTTTGAAGCAGCTTCTACACGCAAGCCATTTCAGTCTGTAAAATCACTGCCCAGCATGTTTGAGGTCAGTCAGCATCCTTGGACAGCGGAGAGTCTGTAAAAGTGTGACCCCCTTAAGATTTCATTTTAAATGATCAGATTTGACCCCAGTTTAATTCTTGTTGAATTTTTCCCTACGAAGGCTCCTTTTGAATGTGTCTTGAGACCACACTGAGCATGTTGCTGTTATTCCTAGCTTGCATCTGTGGGGCAGCAGCCGCGGGACTAGCTGTGCTGGGTGCCTGCAAGCTCCCGCCGAGGAACTAGCTTGGCCTTTGCGTTTTGATTCCAGATGGTAAGATGAGTGGAAGTGTTGATCTAGTATGCAGAGGAAACCCTTGTGGCTGAGGAATCCAGGAATCGTGTCTGTGTGACCTGAGTGTGATCCGCCTCCTGCCTGCGTGAGGAAGCAGTGGGCACTTTTCCTTGAGACAAACTCCAGGGTGCCCAGCAGGGGTTCTGCCCCTGGCAAAGGCCCGTTCCTGGCACTTAGAGACAGAAAGACCTCAGCAGTCTTCTTTCGTTCTTGTTATGTTGGGTCTTTGAAACTGACAATCTTTGAAATGTGAATACTGTAACAATATGTTTCCTTGAATTGTCTTTTAAAAGGATTTTTGTGAAGCAGTTGATGAGAGCAAAAGAATTAAAACGAGAAACACGCTTTACGGACGTTTTATTTTATAAAGCTCACGCCACCAAAAGCTGCTTTTCCGTTTTATGTAAGACACTAAGATTGTTTTCCTGTTTTCTGGTGACGTGTGGGTTTCGGTTCGCCCCTGCATATTCGAAAAACTAGGACCGCGTTGCACGAGGCTATTCAGGTCCATTGACGTGTCCGAGAAGCTTTTCTTAAATGGCCTGCCTTGTTCAGTCAGTGGTTTTCCAGGCAGAAAATGGAAACAGGGAGCTTTGATTTTTTATTACAGTTTTTCATAAATGTAATTCTTCTGATAGTTTATGAGAGGAAATGATTCATCAGTGAGGCAACATAACACCTTGCATAGTTGATATTATAAAATGTCATGACAAGGCTGTTCCTGAAGATTTCAAAGGTGCATTAAAACAATTTCAGCGGGTTTTTCATCTTTCCTCCCAACCACCGTTCATGCTTAGAAGCTGAAGTCAGCATTTTAAAATTTCAGTATTTTAAAAATGACATTCAGGCCGGGCACAGCAGCTCATGCCTGTAATCCCATCACTTTGGGAGGCCCAGGCAGGTGGATCACCTGAGGTCCAGGAGTTCAAGACCTGCCTGGCCAACGTGAAGAAACCCCATCTCTGCTAGAAAATGCAAAAATTAGCCAGGCATGGTGCCACACACCTGTAATCCCAGTTACTCGGGAGGCTGAGGCATGAGAATTGCTTGAGCCCGGGAGGCGAGGCTGCAGTGAGGTGAGGCTGCACCACACCATTCCAGCTAGGAAACGGAGCAAGACTCCATCTCAAAAAAAAACAAACCTACATCCAAGATTGTAAATGTTGTAGGTGATTAGCAGTGGCCGCTGACTGTACTGTTTCAGAGAATGTCTTGGTTGATTTACAGAAGAATTGAGGCGCCGTGTTGTGCCTTCAGCTCCCCCAGGTCGAGCTGAGAGATGGACACAGACTTTACTCTGTGGGCCCCGAGCAGCCCTGGCCTCTCCAGGCCTCCAGGGCTTCATTTGTGAAAAGGAAGAATTGGCTTATAAGGTTCATTCCAGCTCAGCAGTGATGTTTACGACTAGTAAGAGTCTCTCCCTCTGTCTAAAGAGAGATGAGGATATGAGTACTGGTCTGGCAGTTCAAGAAAACCAGAAAGATCTGGATGAAATATTTAGTTTCCACGCTTGTGTTTGAATGACATGAATGTCATAAAGAATGTCTGCTGTTTTCAGCTTTCATGCCGTTCTATTATATGTACTCTCAGAAGAAATTCGTAGGACAAGGCCCGGCCCAGCGTGGTGGCTCACGCCTGGAATCCCAGCAATTTGGGAGGTAGAGGCAGGTGGATCACCTGAGATCAGGAGTTTGAGACCAGCTTGGCCAACATGGTGAAACCTGTCTCTCCTAAAAATACAAAAGTTATCCGGGCATTGTGGGGGCACCTGTAATTCCAGCTACTCGGGAAGCTGAGGCAGGAGAATCTCTTGAACCAAGGAGGCGGAGGTTGCACTGAGCCGAGATCACACCACTGCACTCCAGCCTGGGGGATAGAGTGAGACTCTATCTCCAAAAAAAAAAAGAAAGAAAAATTCTTAGTAGAAATTATTTTTGCCCATGCACAGTGAGATCTTACCTTCACCAAGACCGAGAATCTCTATCATTGTTTAACTAAGATCTGTGAGACTTGGAGTATAAGCATCTAAGCACAGGTGACCGAAAACAGTGAGCACTGGGCTCGGGGCCAGCGTTCCCCAGTCCCAGGTCTTCACCACCTGGTCCGGGTCAGGTCTGGCACCTGCAGGCTCCTCTCTACCAGACCTCGTCAGGTCTGGCTTTTGTGTTCTATGAGAACTAGTTAGCATGGCTTATTTGGATAATTTGTAAGTATTCCATATACACACAGTATTTAGAAGGCGTTATCTTATACAGAAGTTTCCATTCTTCATCTCGTTATTAGACTGAGGACTTCAGCCTGCAAAAAGCAAGACCGGTGTCAATATAAATCAGGAATTCTAGGCTGGGCATGGTGCCTCATGCCTTTAATCGCAGCGCTTTGGGAGGCCAAGGTGGGCAGATCACCTGAGCTCAGGAAGTTGAGACCAGCCTGGCCAACATGGTGAAACACTGTCTATACTAAAAATACAAAAAAATAGCTAGGTGTGTGGCAGGCACCTGTAATTCCAGCTACTCGGGAAGCTGAGGCAGGAAAATTGCTTTAACCCAGGAGGTGGAGATTGCAGTGAGCCAAGACTGCGCCTTTGCACTCCAGCCTGGGCGACAGAGTGAGACTCTGTTCCCCACAACAATAAATAAATCAGGAATTATTTTATTTCAGCATGTTTCAAAAGAAACATTTTAATGATATTGATGGCTTTCGTTGCTTAGACATTTTTAGAAAATGGCCCGTAGAAAGCTAGGTATATTTTTAAATATTTTACTCTATATTAACTCAGCTTTCTTTCATATTATCTTAACACAGCAATCCTGAGAAATAAGTCGGGAAGCCCTTAACACTTTACATTGTCTTGTGTGTGAGTGCAGACCTGAGTTTCAGAGACCACGGAGTTAGAGGAGAACAGCCAGCGGCGCTGGAGAAAATCCTCAGCTGAATCGTTCAAGGGAACCCCAGAAAGGAGCAGTTCCAGCAGCAGAGGCTGTGAGAATGTGGGTTGCTGTGGGAGGGGAGATGGGAGAAGGGCATGGGGCGGGGCAGCCGGGAGGGACCCGAGGCTTGGAAGACGGCAGTGCAGAGGAGAGGCGGAGGCAGAGGCAGGCGCCGTGGGTTCTGGGCCTGGCCATGAGCCAGTGGAAGATGATATGGGAGCTTATCTTTGTTCCCTTGGAGAGAAAGCTCATATTTTGAGACTCCAGAGGCATAAATCCTAGGGCAAAACATGGATGATTTGGCCAGATCAAAATTCGGTTTTCTTGTGCAGTGGAGGGCACCGAGGACCGTTAACAGGTGGTGACCGAGGGCAGTGCGTCCCTGGTTCCTTCTTCCTAATGTATAAAGCCGGCAAGGAGCCAGTGTTAGGGGAGTCTTGCGGAACAGCAGGTAACCTGCTGGAAGCCTCTAGAAACATGACAGTGTATATTAATAGTTCACCAACAGGAGACCAGATGACCAAGAAGCACACGAGGACCCGTGGCCTCGCCATGGCCAGGGAGTGTGAGTGCAGCCCGGGCCGGCCACTTTGTCTGTGGCTGCAATGAGGAGGCTGGGATGGGGCTCTGCAGAAACGGGGATTGGAGTGTTGCCGGCAGGAATATCATGGCACTGGCCATTTTGGAATGAACCTAACAGTGCAGTCACATGTCACTTAACAATGGGCTGTGCTCCAAGAAATGTCTCTTTAGGGGACTCCGTCACTATAGGACCATCACAGAGTGCACTCACGTGGACGTAGACAGCCCACTAGACACCCAGCCTGTGCAGCTTAGCCCCTTGCTCCCCGACACAGGCCTGTGCAGCAGGTGACCCTGCTGAGTCACCTGCGGGTTGTGTGGCTGTGTGACATTGGCGTGGGACATTCTCGGGTCTGCTGCCGTTAATAGCTCTATTTCATAGAAGTGGATTGTCTGTTGTTTCTCTCATACTTTATTATTATTATTATTATTATTATGAGACAGAGTCTCGCTCTGTCACCCAGGCTGGAGTTCAGTGGCATGATCTTGGCTCACTGCAACCTCTGCCTCTCAAGTTCAAGCGATTCTCCTGCCTCGGCTTCCTGAGTAGCTGAGATTACAGGCACCCGCTACCTCACCCAGCTAATTTTTTTGTGTTTTTAGTAGAGGCGGGGTTTCACCTTGTTGGTCAGGCTGGTCTCGAACTCCTGACCTTATGTCCCGCCCGCCTTAGCCTCCCAACGTGCTGGGATTACAGGTGTGAGCGACAGTGCCCAGCTTCTCTCCTGGTTTATTGAATGCCAGTTATCTTTTTGTAGAACAGTAGAAACCAAGATAAATCGTCCTCATGCCCAGAAACGGGCACCCCACTTTGGACAGGCCGTGGGTGGGTATGGTCGCCAGGTGAGCTAGCCATGGGCTTGGGGCACCACAGGCTTCTGATTCTTCCCACAGTGGCTACATCCACTCTGTGTGTGGCGCGGATGCCAGAGGGCTTCCTGGTGGCCCTAATCCTCCTCAGGTGCCAGCAGGCCTTGGATTCTGCAGCGTGCCTGCCGTCTGCTCCTGCCCTCCTTGGCAGAGGGCCACTGATGCTTGCTCCTGGCTTCTTGGTGTTCTCCTGGCTCAGCCTCCATCTCAGGTGGGTCCTGTACCCTTGGGGTGCAGGGCTCATGCCCACTCCTGCCTCTACTGCCAAATTCTGCCTTATCTCTGGGCAGAGACTTGGACAGGAGAAAGTCTGAGCCAGGGCAGGCCTTGAGTTGAAAATGTTTCCTGCCTGTCCCCAGTGGGTCTTCGTCAGGTGGAAGGAGGGAAGGGGCTGGAGTTTCCCTGTCCCCTCACTGTTTTCTCCTTTCCTGCCTTCTGGCAGCTGCCAAAATCGGGGTGGTGGCAGCGGGGGGTGGGGAGCCTTGCCCTGCACTCCAGAAGCTCTGTGCCTGCGGTTGAGAGTTCAGCAGAAATGGGAACGAGGAAGGGGGCATGCAGGTTTGGAGACAGTTTTACTCATTGAAGGCGTTGCCTTCGACCTTGAGCACTGGGAAGCCTTTCTCATTCCTGACTCTCTGTGTGGAAACATTCTCTCGGGCAGTGTCTGGGGGCTTATGGCACAAATGACATCTCCAGTCTACTGTGCCCCTCTGGAATTTTGCCCATCCTGTGAGTCCCCCTCTCTTGACCCTGCTGGGGTGGGAGCTGCCACATGACTGATAGGTTGAGAGGGCTCGGCTTGGCCCCGGCTGCCATGTTGGAAGGAAGCCAGGCCATGGGGACAGGCCATGCAGGTGTCCTATCCGCCAGCCCACGTCGACCACAAGCTACACACAAGGGAGCTACAGGCGCCTGGAGCCACCGCGGCTGATGAGCAGAGCAGAGCCCAGCCGCCCGTCAGCCCTGC